GCCAAAGCATCTTCAACTAATATGGTTCCTTTTGTCAAAACTATGGTATGGAGATATGATCTCCCCATGACCCTAAATGTTGGAACTTTAGGTTCGATATAAATTTGAATAACAATGTTCACTACATAAATAGATCCATTGTCGATCGTAGTGAAATAACCGCTCCCTTCAAACTGTTGTCCAACCCGATGCACTTCGTATCCTTGACTATAGGAATAAAAAAGAATAAAGGATCTACTCAGACCCCAAATACACATGATGCCAAAAATGCCCTCTTCCACTTTGAAAGAAATGACCATTGTCGATCGTAGTGAAATAACCGCTCCCTTCAAACTGTTGTCCAACCCGATGCACTTCGTATCCTTGACGATAGGAATAAAAAAGAATAAAGGATCTACTCAGACCCCAAATACACATGATGCCAAAAATGCCCTCTTCCACTTTGAAAGAAATGACCAACCTCGATAAAAAATGCTCTCTACTATTGTTGGCCATCCTCTCCTTGGTCTATAACCTTCATCTACAATTGCAGATTCCTCAACTGCCCAACTGAAAACACATCATAAACAACATATCAAAATCAGGTACTACAAATATATTAAATTTTCTATGATATAAGGTTCTTTATGGATCCATGTGTTCGTTGGTTTTTCTTACCTTCGTAGTGACAATTCTCTTGGTGCAGTAAGTCCTACGATGCTGAAAAAGATATAACAATCAAATGTTGATGCACATAATTGGATCAAAAAGGGAGAAAAATAAACGATATAGTCCACTCATATTATAACACGTGTATACGCATATTGGATCAACAAGACTAAGGCAATAATTAGTACAAAGTAAAGAACTAGTATCTGCCTTGTCTAGTGTGAGAGAGCCTTTACATAGGCAACAGAAATTGGGCCTCTATTATGAGCCCCTTTTTTTTTATCCAACCAAAAAGGAAAGAAGAAACTTCAAGAGAGTCATTGAATAAGAAGACAATCAGATGATCCCTAAACTATACCCAAACTTTACTTTTCGTCCCTCACATTATTTTGTTGTTACCGTGATACTTTAATTAGATATCATGTTGCATCATTGGTGTCAATTTAGTTAAATTTTATGTTAAAATTAAGGGCAAATTGGGAAATTCATAATATTTCTCTCTCTCTCTCTCTCTCCCCGATGATTTCTTCTTCCCCCAACCCCAGCACCCACGAACCCAGAACCCTCTACCCTAGCTCGCAAGCCCAGCACCCATGAACCCGAAACCCCAGCCCCCATCCTCCACCCCAGATCCGATCAGAGAAGCAGAGGCATTTTTTCTTTTGCATCTGGATTTGTGAAGAGAAATTGGTTCAATCTTTGAAGGAGGCTGAAATGATGGTTCATAATGACATTCTTCCCAAATTAATAGTCTGCCATTGAACAAATTGCAAAAGCCTTATCATTGAACAAATAAAAGTCCCAAGAACGGAAAACCATCAAAAGAATTTCTCTCTCCCGCAGCCCTCCACTTTCTTGTTTACTTTGGATTTGCTAGCTTCTTGGTCAGGTGTATTGATATGCTAAGAGAAGTTGGTCACTTCCTATAGCTATGTGTTTATGTATTGGCAGAACTGTAGCTATGGGTTTGTGTTGGGGGGGTTAATCATTTCTCTCTCTCTTTTGCTTCTGGGTTGGGGTTTTAATTCAAGGTTCAGAGTTCAGCGGCCCGTCGTCGCCACTCGCGGCCGCACCGCCCGACAGTGACAGCGACTCTAGGCGCGCCACAGCCGATTCCAACCTCTGTATAAGCTTCTCCTCCATAGCCGCAAGCTCAAAATCTCTGTGTATCTTCTCTGTCTTTGTCTCTCTCTACGGTTAGATTAGATCTGGTAGATTTGGTGTGGCCGTTAATTAGTAGAGAAATGACTTCCTTCGCTTTTTCTTTTTTTCTTTTTATATTTTTAATATTTGGGATTTTTTTATGTTTTTTTTTACACCGAAAGGTGAAAGAGGAATTTTGATTTGGCGGCTGTTAATCTGAGTCTTCGCGCCCGGTTTTTGAGGTTTGGCCTTAGGAGACGTGGGGACACGTGGAGGACAGAGAGCGAATCTTGGCTGTTCGTGCGTTGTTAAACAAACACCTTGCCTGGAAGTAATTAACTTGTGCTAACTCAAATTATTATTTTTAATTAATTTGTGGGATATCATCAGACAAAAACAACAAATTTCTGAGGGACGGTGTAATGTGGTGGAACCCTTCAAATTTATCCGGTCTCATTCCCTTTTTATTTATTTATAAACTTTTAATAGTTTCATTTTTACTGTAGCGTTACCAGCACAGCAGACTAGTATGACAAATTATAATATTGCCCAATCATGACTAGGGGCATGAGTTCACACTCTCTAATTTCCGTACAAAATAATAACAATAATAATATTGATTGAAATATATAACTCATAAAAAAATACATCAATTAAGTAATACAAATTTGCATATGTCGTTGCACTCAAGTTCAAACTCCCTCTATGTACATTAGTGCAGAAACCAAATGTTATTTTTCTACCGTCCTTCAAGTGTACTGGATGAGTCATAATCCGTTCTAAAATACCTCTGGGAATTTAGACGCTATAATCTTCAAGTCATTGGCCATGAGTGCAAACGCTTTTGTGAGGGACTTGACAAATCTTGTGGAGATGGGTAAGGCCGAAAACGGGGAGAATGTTGATGCCCAGATCAGAAGCTCGTCTCCACATAAATCACCTTTGGCAAGACACTAGGTGGTTCCAGCATCATTGTTTTTTCAGACACCCAGAGTTGTACCTCTAGATCTTTCATTTTCAGCTGCCGTAGAATTCTCATCTTGGGATGATGCTCCAGTTACCAACTTCATACACATCTGTTACATGACAATCATGAGTTCTTTTAACCTTAATTTCCATGTCAACACCATCTAGCTTTGCCAATGACCATTTTGTCAAACGACATCTAGTCTCTATAATTTTTTGATTTTATTTTTTATAAAAAATATCACCATCTAGCTTTATTAAGCCAAAATAATTGTTTGATGAACTCCAAGATTGAGATCCTTACAACAAAACTCCAAGAGCCCGTTTGGGAGAAATTATGCCCTCCTAGAATCACTTTAGGGGAGAAGCATATATTATGTCATTCTCCATAAAATCATTTAAAACCACTTAAAGTGATTATATGGAGAAGTGATTTTTTGCTTATCCAGAACCACTCCCATACGAACCGAACCCTAAGTTAATTAAGATACATTATGTTTAATTTAGAAGTTCTGGCACCAACCTTCAAATTTGTAAGGAGGTATAGTAGAAACAGGAGCAAGCCACTTAGAGAAATAAAAATGGCAAAGATATTTTCCCATGTATAGTTACTCGTTTGGAGGTTTTGCCCGAGAGAACTGCAGAATCGAAACAGAAGAAATATATTCAATGTACTGCAAGTCATAAATTCAATGTGTTGCAAGTAATAAAATATTCTAGGACCTCTCATCTATGTTAAAGACATTACAAGTCAAAACACCATTTCAACATATGCGTGTGTGATGTTAGGCAACGTAAAAGAGAAACGTTAGGATCTAGACAGTTGTAAATTTGTTCCTGCTAAAAAATACAGTAATGCAAAATTATGTTCAAACCTTAGATTTCGCAAGCCCCACCAGAAACAATGAAGGAATTTCTTCGGTAAATTTGTTGACTCCAACACACCAGACCGAACAGCCTCAACAAACATACCAAAATCGAAGGGTGTTGCATTAGTATCGTGTGGATTTATAGAGCATAAGTCGTCCAGAAATGTGAAGTTTCTGATTGTACGACCATTGCAGTAGAAGGTAGTAGGTTCACATCCATTGTTGTTTCGACAAGCATTTTGCCAGCAAGCCGTCTCCCGCTGGATAGCGAAAAAGTACCAGAAAGCTCCAAATTCCTAAGAACATCAACAAGTTAATAAGTTAGCAAACAAACTTTTGAGAAAAGTTTCTACAAAGTATATATCATTCATAGGAAATTAAATGATGTTTATTTTGTTTATAAATTGGTGACAAGGTTGATTAATTTGAGAACTTGGTTTCCAGCCAAGAAATCCAACCAAAACTTGGAAACTAAACGGAGCATCACTTGAGATAAATTAATACATGAAGATTGAAACTTACATGACTAGCAAGGATGAACAAAAAGACACTGAATGCGCCTTTAAATATAATCCATATTTCAGTCTCTCTAGTAAGAGTCTCGTTGAGTTTTGTACACAATAAGTAGATGCGAAGAACTCGTGGTACACATTGCAACAGAGCAAGAAAAGCCAAAAACATCGTCGTATTCAAAGAACTAGAGTCCATGAAGATAAGGATCACTGCCTGGACACAGTACAATGGATTAAGCCAACAATTAATTTAGCTTATATTCACATATCCGAATTTCAAATAGTTTTAAAAGAGAGATTGGTAAACCAATTTTCTCATACCTGTGGAATGGGAAGAACTGCTAAAATGTCAATTAAGATGTGTGATGAGATCCTCCAAATCCTCTTAGCCATTGGCAAAACTATGGTATGGAGATATGATCTCCCCATGACCCTAAATGTCTGATCTTTAAGTTCGTCATAAATTTGAATAACAATATTCACTACATAAAATAAATCTGTTGTTGATCGTAGTGAAATAACCGCTCCCTTCAAACTGTTGTCCAACCCAATGCACTTCGTATCCATGTTGACGACAGGAATATAAAAGAACAAAGGTTCTATTAAGACCCCCAATACACATGATGCCAAAAACGCACTCTTCCATTGTGGAAGAAATGACCGAACTTGATTAAAAATGCTCCCTACTATTTTTTGCCATTCTCTACTTGATCTATGACCTTCATTTACAGTGGCAGATTCCTCAACTGCCGAACTGAAAACACATCGTAAACAACATATCAAAATCAAGTACTACCAATATATTAAATTTTATATGATATAAGGTTCTTTATGGATCCATGCGTTCGTTGGTTTTTCTTACCTTGGTAGTGACAATTCTCTTGGTGCAGTAAGTTCTACGATGCTGAAAAAGATATAACAATCAAATGTTGATGCACAAAATTGGATCATAAAGAGAGAAAAATAGACGATATAGTCCACTCATATTATAACACGTGTATACGCATATTGGATCAACAAGATTAAGGCAGTAATTAGTACAAAGTAAAGAACTAGTGGGAGTTTCACTAAAACACCCAAAATGGGGGCTGAAATTATAAAAAAACACAACATCCAAAACACTTTATAAACACACCCAAAACTCATCATTACACACACTCAAAACCCATTTATAAACACACCCAAAAAATATACAATTGTTGATTTTGGGTGTGTTTTTATGTTTAAATAGTGCTTGAGTTTTTTTATAAATACATGTGTAGGATTAGATTTATTTATAAATTTGTATTTTTGTTATCCATCCAAAAAAGAAAAAAGAAACTTCAAGAGAGTCATTGAATAAGAAGACTGATCATATATAATAGCCACATCAACTGATAAAATAAATTAAAAGAATCAATTAACAATTAAAAAATTAAAAATTAAAAATAAATTTTTGAAAACTCTCTCTCCTCTCTCTGCAACTAACGACACAGGGTGGGTGGGGTGGGGAGAGAGAAAAACAGAGGGTGAGAGAGAGGGAGGGAGCGGGTCGGGGAAGGGTGTGTGTTTTACAGATCTGGGTATTGTTCTAAATTTCAAAGGGTGTGTTTTTTTTCAGATCAGACACTGAAGCTGATGATTGGGGTTGTGAAGATGAAGTAGTACTCTAATGTCCTCAGAGGGTGAATTCATTGGTGGTTGGATTGGAGAAAAAATCGTTGAATTAGTCTTGGATTTGAGGAAAATAAGAGGTTGGGCGTGCTGAGAATTTTGGGGATGGGGTGGTGTGCGCAGTGAGGGAGAAAGCGCAAGGCAGGGGTGACTTGGTTCGCTGGGGGAGGTGTGGTGGGAATGGTGGTTTGGGTTGCTTGGATTTGCTTCGCGAGGATGGTGGTTGGCACAAATCCAGTGGGTCAAAGTCATGCCACGTCATCAATTCCAAGCTCATTTGACTGTCATATATCATGGGTTACGGAGAATATGACGGAAGATAGTAATGGAAGTATGAAACTGATGGTAAAAAAGTAAACGTTGAGGGTGAAAATGAGAAGAAAAAACATTATGTAGTAAAGTCAGAATTTCAAAAAATTTGCGGGTAGTAAAGTAAAATTTACCTAATATAATATTGGCTTCTGAAATAGGATGAGATTGAAATAAGAATAAGATGGGATCAGATTGTTTCAATACAGTTTTATTTCTTTAAATTGAAAAAAATATGAGAAATTGAGAAAATAGGTTGCCAGCTGTCTATTGGTTATTGGATGCGGATACTTATGTGGATGGCGGAAGTGTTCTGTTCAAAAGATCCATAGAAGTTTCCTAGAAGTCTACTGTGTGCATGGCTTGAGTTATACATTTCAATCAATATTAATATTATTTTTTTATACGGAAATTAGAAAGTATGAACTCATGACCTTAAAAAAATTATAAAAAAATTTCTAAAATTCCTCAGATATGAAGGAGAACACTTTGCAAATGTAAAAGATTCCTTAAGAAATCTAAAAAGAAATAAGGGCATTTTTATCTATTTTAGCTTCTTTTACAAATATTTCTCTCTCCTTTGGTTTTTTTTCAAAATGTCCCAAAATATTAATGGAAGTATGAAAGTGATAGTAAAAGTAAACTTTGAGAATGAAAATGAGAAGAAAAAACTTTATGCAATAAAGTTAGAATTTTTAAAAATTTGAGAGTAGTAAAGTAAAATTTACCTAATATAATATTGGCTTCTGAAATAGGATGAGATTGAAATAAGAATAAGATGGGATCAGATTGTTTCAATACAGTTTTATTTCTTTAAATTGAAAAAAAGATGAGAAATTGAGAAATAATATAATTAGAAGAGTAGAAGAAACTAACTTCACAGGCACAGCTGTCTCTTGGGATATCTCCATAATTGCTGAAGCCATTAATAGCCCCTCCTGCAATATAGAGAATCGAAAACTTAATTAATTATACAATAAAAAAATTTGGGCGGATATATGCTTCTGAATACCTGATCATCAATTTAATATTTTGCAAAATGAATGCTTCAAACACATATTTATAGTGGTGACATTGAGGAGAAAGGGACATTGATGGTGACATTGAGGAGAAAGGGAAATATTATTCTTACATATTTCCGCCATCCACACAAGTATCCGCATCCAATAACCAATAGACAGCTGGCAACCTATTTTGTCACAAATTAAAATATTAAATGTATTTTTAGTAAACAATCTGCTCCTCCTTTGGTATCTTTGGAGTCAAACTTCCCTCTGGTCAGCCTATCCCCATCCAATAATCAGTAGCCAACTGGCAACCTATTTTGCCTCAAATTAAAATATTAAATGCATTTTTAGTAAACAATCTGCTCCTCCTTTGGTATCTCCGGAGTCAAACTTCCCTTGCACTTGGATGCCAGGGTCAGCCTATCCCCATCCAATAATCAGTAGCCAGCTGGAGAAAAAGCTGAAGCCCATGAAACTCAATAAGAGCATCTCCAAGGGAGATGTCAAATACCAAACATCAAATTTAAATTTGATGGATGATGTGGCAATTTGACATTTACACAATTTTACACTCCATCCGATATGTCAAATAAATAATTATTGTAACAGTCAAATCATTAAGATAAAGAAGAAGAAAAATATAAAAAAAGAAAAATAATAAATGAAAGTAATAGCCAACTATCTTTTAAAAATAATAAAATATTCTTTTGACATCTTGCTTTTGGGATGTCAAAAATAACATCTCAACCTTCAGCCTTCAATCCACATCAGCTTTAACACATCGGTTCGAGTAATGCGAGATGTTATTTCTAGCCATTATATGTCTATGTGGCACTTTTGACACATTGGTTGGAGATGCTCTAAGGCCCGCCTGGAGAAAAATCTGCCAATTCATTTGTGTTGTTGGGGAGTTGCCTTGCGACATGGCTCCTCATACTCTCTTCTTGACCAACGGATGCTTCCTCTTTCTTTTATGAGATTTTCTATTTAAACCCCACACTTCTCTTAGTTCACCCAAACTTTTAATTTAAATTTTCACAATTTATAAGTAAACCCCACTATCTTCCCAAACTACTCTTAAATACATCCCAAACTGAAAAATTAAGAAATAAAAGAGATTTTCTATTTAAACCCCACAAGTTACTTTTAGAGGAGAAAATACGTTCTGAGCATGAGAAATAGTAAGTATTAAATTAAATTTTTAATGATATTTCAAAGTCTTATTCATTGTCTGTTTTCAAGTGCATAAACATACAATTTAACTCTTAAGTCCGCAAGCTTGAATTATAACCATAGTTTCTATCATGTTCACACCCGTGGACTTAATCGACCTGCACTTTTTGTTGTTTCAGCAGAGCTACAGCTCAAATCAATAAGCTTCGACACCCATAAAAAGGGAGAAAACAAGACTCTTTACTTCCTCGAAATCATCATTAGCGTATCATAAAGCACCCAAGGTCCCATCTTCTCCAGCCAAACCCATAGTTTCTAGTTGTTCCAGAAAGGATGATATTCTCACCCCATTACGAAAGAAGCCGGCAACAGAATTGGAGGACAAGAAAAGATCAACTCCCAAATCACTTCACAAGTCAGTCAGTTTCACACCCATAAGGGAACTTTCCAGATTAACTTCAACAGTCATCAGGAAGATTGAAAATTCAAGAGTTGGTGCTAGTTCTTCCAAGACATCAAAAGACTGCATGACTCCTCTAAGAACTCCAACTACGGTGTGCCTCCCAATTTCTTTGTATTTTTTCTAAAAGCATCTCCAAAGATTTGCAATTTTTCCAACAGTGCTTACTGCTAAAGAGTTTATTTTTGGAACTGCAGGTATCTAAGAATGAGGTGCACAAGCGTTGTACAAAAACCCCATGTTCCGAAAAGAGAAGGTACCTGATCATATAAAACAAAGCAAGCAATCTTCTAAGAAGTTTCAACCTTAATTCTTTTTTCTATTTTTTTCATTAATTGATAAATTCAAGTTACCCCATACTTTCTAGAGAAAGAGAACAGTTTTACCAAAACATCAGGTATAAATTTTAAATCAAAAATCAAAACAATCAAGCAATCAACAACCAAGAGTACCCAAAAAAAAAGCAATCAACAAAGGGAAAAGAATAAGATCATTACAGCGAAACAATCAACAAGTCTTTCCATCAGCTTCCGGGCAGATTTCAAAAAGGTAGGCTCGTCAATGTTCTACGTCTTTAAAAGAGAAATTAATCTGGCATAGGATGTAGAAGAGTTCGTATTTTTTTAAAACTTAATTTGAAGAGTTGTGGGGTGTGTGTATAGATGTATTATGGTTAAGTATTAAGTTGGATGACCTTTTTTATCTTTTTACACCATAATAAAACTTACAGCTTAATGATTTAAGTATTGGGGTGAACTAAGAGAAGTGCGGGGTTTAAATAGAAAAAATCTTCTTTTATTTTTATTTAATGTGACTAATGAAAGGGATGAGCTAGATAAGGTTTGTGTTTGGGTTTTTTTGACGGATGATGTTGGGGTTTTTTTTTTTTTTTTTTTTTTTTTTTTTTACAATCAAGGTTTTTTATTTATTATTTATAAATAGATAATATTTTCAAATCTTATTCAAATTTTGATTTTGATTTTTGTCGAAATGTTCAAACACAAAAACTGACATATCATAATATACATTCAAGCAAAATGGCTTTTTTCCAAAAAAATTCACACATATATAAAATTATATTGAATATAGAGCTCCATATATAGAGTCCTCTTGTTGTGAGAGTGTTGTTTTTAAAGCCCCAAAGATTTCATCAAAGCTCTACAAATGCAGAAGAAGAAGCAAACAGTTAAAAATTGTACAAAGCCCATTTGATATGTCATTTGGCAACCACTATTGGTGGGTTCATGTACAAATTTTCTTGATTCACCCTTTTCCAAGTTAGTATATTTATTTATTTTGCAAGTACTTGAGAGAAGATTCATTTGGCATAATTTCTCTTTATTTCATAAAAAAAATTTTGTCGCATGTATAAGTTGTTAAACTATGGTATAAAAGACATAGGCTTCGCCATTTGGGACTCGATTATAAAATTCTCTCTAATTGCATCGGAATCTGATTTTTGAAAAAAGGATATTCTTAACAGACCTCACCTTACATATCAAAAGATATAAAGTACATATTTACAAGCTCCTAAGTATGAATCCAAATATATCAACAAAATCTATAAGATCATGGGAAAAAAATTATAGAAAATATTATATGCACATTCAAGGCTTGTAAAATCTTTTCTATATACTAATGGAGAATCATGATAAGAAGTCGAATGGCCTCAGGAACTACCTCCTGTGCCAAAACATAATAATCTCCACTTCCATATCTCGCTTCATTTCTATCCATGGCATGCTTGGATTGGTTATTGAACATTATCAGATGCAGCTGCACGGGAAGGGAAACAATCTTTCTATCGGGCTGATCGGGTTTCCTGCAGCTTATAGAACAGAAAAATGAGGAAGCTGAAAATGAAGAACATGTTAATGTGATCTTGATGTTGAAGAAATAATACATTGGCAAGTAGGTTGCCAACAAATATGATATAAATGTGATCTTGATGTTGAAGAAATAACACATCTGCAATGCATCTACAAACCAGTCTCTACATTTATTGAAAAATTTATATCCTACCAGTCCCATCATCACCAGTCTCTCCCCCTTAATAGAAGACAGGTTTTGAGATCAAACCATGCAAAGGCAGAAATTTGTGGAGAGGGCAACTCTTTAATATATGACTCAAAATTTATGCAAAGTCATAATAGTAGCGATTGACCAGACCAAGAAAATTTTAAGTGGGACAGAAACATACATGATAAGAAAGGACTTACAGAACGATAAGGGAAGTCATCTGCCTCAAGCATATGAACAATTTGCCCCATTTTTGGTCGCTTGTTGACATCTAAATCTATACAGCGGAGACAAACCAGCAATGCTCGCTTCATAGCTCTTGGAGAGGGCTGAACTTCTATCAGAGGATCTACAACCTCCTCTCCACGGCGACTTTGGATCATTCCTTTAAACCAATCAACCAGGTTCATCTGATTACACCAACTGAAACAGTTAGGACATTGTTGCAGTGCTTCTAGGAAACAGAGAATGAAAACTTGGCTTTACCTCTCCAGCTGGTCTGGAATAGTCAATTGGGCTTCTTCCTGTAATTATCTCCATGAGTAGAATTCCAAAGCTATATACATCACTCCACTCGTTCAGCATACCTGTGCTTGCATACTCTGGAGATACATATCTACAGAAAATTACAGTGAAGAATCAGTACTACAACATAGTAGAGATACCATCCAGGTAATGTATCATTGAAATATCTTCAGAATTCAAGAAAGAACTAACCCAAATGTCCCCATGACACGTGTAGTCACGTAGCTTGACTCAGGTGCTAAGAGCTTGGCCAGGCCAAAATCTGATACTTTTGGGTTCCATTTTCTATCCAGAAGAATGTTGCTGGATTTTATATCACGGTGCACCACCTTGGGTTCTAACCCTTCATGCAAGTAGGCCAGCCTGTTAGAAAAACAAGAATAGGTTTATAGTGATGAAGGATAATAAATTTTCATAGCCAAAGTAAGGAGATCGTGAGAATGACAAAAGCAGTGCAATATGTTACAATATGTTACAGATCCTGTCATACTGAGACATATAATCGTTAAATACAAGCAAAATGAAGAATACAGAATTATCTCACCCTTTCGCTGTCCCGACGGCTATTTTCATTCGAATATCCCAGGTCAGAGGGCTGACAGGCCCAACATCACCATGCAACCATTGCTCCAAATTGCCATTGTCAATGTATTCATATACAAGCATCCTGGCAGAGCAGTAGAAGTCCCCATGGACATGTTAATTAGAGGAAGAAACGGGTTAATCTGAATTCACCTAGAAGATATGACAATAGAGTTACCTTTGAGCACCTTCAGCACAATAGCCAATTAGACCCACCAAGTTCTTATGCTTTACTTTACCAATGGCTTCCACTTCCACCTTAAACTCTGTCTCTGCCTGACCCCTATATGTAAGATGACAAGCAGCAATTAAATTTTGAGTGAACAGAAATGTTATACAAAGACCAAGTTCAAATCTGAAAATTTGCTTTCATGGCAAACAAGCAACTGCACTTCATATAATTTCACTTCACAGGAAATATTTTCAACATCCATCATGGAGCCACGGCACTGTTTATGTTTTTGCTCCTATTGTTTCTGGTATGGTATTTTAATATATTTAATATTAAAATGGGAATGTTTCGAAGACAAAGTAATATTTGGTCAATCAAAAGTAGAAAATCAATTATGAAAAGTGAAAACAAGCTCTGAAGATTAGATATAACAATGAGGCACGAAGAAAGCACAAAGTTGAAATTGAATATAGTAAAGATATTAAAAATAAAAAGAATGAAGAATGAAGAATAAAAGTGATAAAAGCACAAAGTAATTTTCTTTTCCTCGTACAGCGGAACAAAGGAAGGCTCTTTTTCTTTTTAATCAAAAGAAAAGCAGGTCACTGAGTGTACAAACAGTGATTACTATATTAGTTATTGATTCAGTGAAGCAAATGAGGTTTAGTCTGGTGGAAAAGGGTCATGACTTGCAGACCTTCCTTTTGTAGTTTAGACTATCGCTTGTATTCCAAAAACAAAACAAAAATACTAACATGAATAATTTATACAGTTTTTTTAACCAAAAGAATAATTATACAGTTTAAAATGTACACCGGTGATTATTATTAATAATTTATAAGAAAACTAAAGTGAATAATGATATAGTTCACAATGTGTATACATATATTACATGCAAAACGTCTATATTGTGATGTTGCATACCAAATTAATGATAGGGATTAATTATAAATTCCATTTTGTAGAAGTAAGTCTAAAGTCAAATGTCATATTATTAATTTCATTATACAACCAATTAGGTATTGGTTTAGAGATTCTTTTCTTCCTAACATTAAAAGAAATCTCAAGTTCGAATTCTCTCACCCTTCACCATTGACCCAAACTCTCATGGAGTGACGTTAGTTGAATAAAAAAGCATAAAAAGTTATGGGACGTTCACTTACGAGTAATAGTAATCAAAAGAAATGGAATGATTTTCATTCTCGACTTCCCCCTACGTATAATTATACAGATTAATAACAATTAATAATGTGCACTTCGCAGTGATTTTGTTTTTGTTTTTTTTATAAAAACAAAGTTTTAACGTAGCTTCTAGATTCCCCACCAGCCTACCTTAATGCCACTTGAGCTAAGAGAATTGAATAAAAAATATATATCCGTAACTAAACATTATTAGCTGTTGACTAAAAATACATTATTAAACACACAGCTTGGAAAGACCCTTGGATCTAGTATGAACGAGAAACATGTTAACCAAAAATAAACAAAAAACATGTAAATTATTTTCCTCAACCATTCCTATGTATTTTTGGACCGAAAATATTTCGATGAAAAAAAAAAGAAAAAGGGCAAGAGTTGAAATTGAGTAAAAAGACACGTACTTGTTGTTGAGAAGGTTCTTGACCGCCACGACAGAGCCGTCCTGCAAAATTCCTCTGAAAACGACGCCGTATCCTCCTTCTCCAATCACGTTGTCTGGAGAAAATCCACGCGTCGCAATCTCCAGCTCTTTCAAGCTATACCACCTGCCCCACCCGATGTTCTGCGGACCCGACCCGTCACTCTCCAACGCGCTCCGCTTCCCTTTCCCTCTTTCGATATCCACAATCTCCATCTCTTCCTCCACCTCCTTCACATTTTCATTTCCGATTTTGCCCTCGCCAATGTCGAGGACGGCGCGCGGGCTAGGAGATTTAATCTCGGCGATCTCTTTGGAAACAAGCGGGATTGAGCCGGAGCTGTGCTTGACGCGCATCTTGCGCTTTCGCGAGGCTCGGGTCGTACAGACACAGAGGAAGATGAGGAGGGCGGCGGCGAGGAGGCAGAGGACGAGGATGGCAATGACAGCGTAGAGTTTGAGGCTGAGGAATGGGGTTGTGGAAGTGAGCTTGTGGGAGAGGGAGGTGTTGGATGTCTGAGTGGTCTCGCCGGCGACCGTCATTGTTTCCGGCGAGCGATGTCGGTGGAGAGTTTGAGCTGAGAATTTCTAGAGAGAGAGAGAGAGAGAGAGAGATGGTGGGAGTGTTTGTTTGGTTGATGAGTAAATAACTTGAAGTTAAAGTTCAGTCAGCAATTTAGACTGTTAGAGGATTTTGCAGAGAGAGATTGAGAAGGAGAAAAGAGTGCGGTTTCAACGGACACAAAAGCGAAAGGCAAAAGTTGAAGTGAAGGAAAGAACAGAAAAAAATAGGAAAAAAAAAACGAAAAGAAAAAGGGAAGTTGTAAGATTATGGGTTTGATATTTGAGATTATTACAGAACTGCCAGTCTAGAGTGTACAGCCAGGCAAATCGCAGTAGCCCTTTTTTTATTTAATCCATTCAACAATTATATAGTTTATGAAATTAGATGTCTAGAACAAAGTGATATCTAAGAACCATTTTAAAAAAAGAAAAAAAAAGAATTTTGACAAAAAAAGAAGAAATTGTATTGACTAAATATAATAAAATGTGTACAATGTCGATGGATAATCAGAATAGTGAATTCACAACCAAACATGAAGATCAAGAACAAGAGCAGAATCTTAATTAAGATATTCGCAGCCGGAATACAATCACAAAATACAAAAAGAGCAAAATTTCATGGTTCTCTTTTTCAAAAATGCATTCATCATGTCATTAATTTTATTCTCTAAAAATAAAATAAAAGCAACAAGAAAAGAAATACAAATAGGAATTCATCCCAACGGAATCTAACTCAATGAAAACGAACCTTGATTTAACAGTGTGGTCTAAGATTCAAATTCACACAATTGTGAAAACTCACCCTAACCCACTTATAAACTTTCACAGCCGCAATTATAATCGAGCGGATCAATCAATATGCATATAATAAGATAATTATTTAAACCGATGCACATGGCAAACACAACACGATCAACTACTTCGATTTAATTTGCGGGATATGTTTAGGAAGAAATATTATTCGAGAGAAGGTAACATCTCTTTGTCAGCTCTCTCTTTAGTTTGAAACCAAATATTCCTAGTTTCACTAATTTATTATAGGATATAGATCATGACGCATGAACAGCGAAACCCTTTTCGTGGTACATAATCTATTATAAGAAATTAATTTTCCCTTGAACCAAAATTTGTCCTAACTGGGTTGAGGTTTGGACGTGACTGTCTAATGTTGGCTCACCACCTAATCCGTTGTTGTAACCCTTGGATACCCTTTGCTAATAGGAATTTGATAAGAACGTGCATGGGAAGAGTATTAATATGAGTGAAGAAAAAGAGGATGACTAGTTAGTTAGAGATCATTTTCTTTGAAATTTCAAAGTAATGAAATTCTCCAATGACGTATAGTTGTGAAATGTAGGTGTCAATATGTCGACACTTTATATTGATCAATTGTATTGCTAATGGGGCTAATCTAGTGACAAAAAGCCTTGACTTGCATATGAGTGATCTTATGTTCGAATTCTCATGATACCTTGATAGTTTATATGTGAAAAAACCAACCAGCTGTATTATGCCGATTGACCGACACTCAATTCATGCAACTATCTTGCGATACTCGTCCCGCATTGATTGGAGAAATGCTCAAAAGACATTGATTGTTATCAGTCCCTTTTATTTTCTTTGGTATGGAAGAAGAACTTGGATCTAAAACGACCAATTATTTTGATAAAAATTTGGATACACTCGTAAATTGGGCATGGAAGAAAACAATTTGTACCAAAGGGCTTGTTGTAAATGTTGTGGTGTATTTGCCTGACTGGAGGGAGCGTGAGTAGGACCCCCCTTAAGCATTAATTTTCTTTTGAAATTTTCGTGAGTTGGAACAGCCTAGACATCAATGTGTTGGAACTTCTTTTAAAGGAGATCATGAAAGAAATGCTTTTAATAGGACGTATGCTCTCATTCATATCATAGACGCAATTTAATACAACTTTGTAACAAAATTAAAGAAAAGCTTTGCAGAAATGGAATTCATCAGCTGTTCAATTTCAAAATTTTGGCAAGAAATTAAGATAGATAATTATTGTAAACCATTGTATCAAGAAACAGTCTGGCTCTATCCTCTAGCTCACTCGTACGGCGCTTCCATCGTAAATTTCCCTATTATGAAAAATTGACATAGTACGACAAATAAATAATGAGCTAGTTCACAATTTTGCAAGTAGAACTCATTTTTTTCTTAAATTGGAATTTAGAAATTTGTGAAACCTACATGATATGAAATTGAATGATAAAAAGACCTTGCTAAGGAATGATGTGGGTCCCCCAAATAATGCTACGTTTTATCTTAATTATTATTGGTTTTGTTGCATGAGAATACGTGATATTGACGATATTTTTACGTAAATAATTTAGTAGGTAAGGTAAATGCAGAGTTCAATATGGTTAGGGAGTAATTTTTTTCATGGGCATTTTTAACTGGACAGGTACAAAATTACTATTACCTTTAACGTTAATGTTTAATCCGCCACGAGCTAGCTTTCTCTCTGAATGTGACGTGCAAACAGAGAAGACAAATTTATAATTTTAACTTTGAAGTTAAGGTATTCTATAACGGCTATGTTGGTGATAGAACAAACGATATCTTCACATATTGTCAAACTCAAAAACCAAATTGGGTGTTTTCAGAGGATAAAGTTGGCTTCAACAGTGCATGGAAAAAGTGTATCCCAATTCCTGAGTTATATTGGAAATTTAGAATTGCGCCCCTGAAGCTTCCTTCAAATAACTTGATGAATTTTCAACTTTCTTATCGTTTGTTCACCCAATTTATGGAGAAAAACTTCTCTATTCCCGTTGTCTCTTTCTTTCTATTTCTCTTTTTATAGAACTTATCATAGAATAAAAAAGATAGAAAAAAGGGAGCAATACAACGAGAATAGGGAAGTATTTCTCTCGTTCATGAATCATGAGATTGGTCTATTTGACATTACAGATTAGGGGCTTAAATAATCTCCAACTCAAAAGGTTCAAAACCTAACTTTACACTCTCGAATACATTTACTCATCAAGACATAAGTTCTGAAACAGTGAGACCAACCACCCAAATTAAGCCCATCCATTGCATGGGCCCATGTGCTGTTGGTAGAAATTTATCCAAAATGCTAGCTTTGGGTCCACAACGTAGGGTCTTGTATTGTTTTTGTTTCGGATTTATCATTAGTTCATGAACTACGCGAAAACACACATCAATTTTAGTCCCCAAACTTCAAAATTACTTAATGTTAATTCTGTCTTTTGACATAGATAGATATCATCCCTAACATCAACTTCGTAGAGAAATCCTTCAAAGAAAAAAAATTACAAACATGGAACGTAATTAATTTTTAAGGAGTATGTAATTAGCGTATTTCGACGATATGACTTATTAAAAGTTGATTACGTGTGTGATTAATTATGTGATCGATATGAGGATGATTACTATGAAAATGACAATGTATACACATGCTGAATTGAAAAACTTTTCACGAGGATGAAGTTTGGACGTCTTTCTACCACTAGATCAAGGATACATATGTATTATATGATGGTCTTTGTATCTAAGTTATTTTCTATCCAGCTGTTCTATTATTTTGTTGATATAATTCTATCTTTATCAAATTAGCTATCAAACTCATTTACATATTATGTCTTTAACATCTCCTGAAATTAAACCTGAGACGTGATTCGATTAATTTGAAACAACTATCACTTAAACAACTAAATTACATGTGTTTTTTTTTCTCTCTTTCATACATTGTCAACAGTGACAGATTCAGGAATTATCTTTCTTAGGGGCAAGAAAATCGTATTATCAAGTCACTAATAATGAAGATCAATTGACTCTTAAATGTAAAAGAACGCAATCATATAAATATATCAATGTATAAATTAGTAACACAAACTCTACACATTCTACCTAATTCCTCTATTGCACGACACAAAAAGAAGAATGAGAAAAGTGAGTCTAAAGAACAAGAAGAATAACATAAGTAGAGGAGTAGAGCAAGTTACCCCTTGTCATGCTTTAGTCTTTTTTGAGGCATTTTATGTCCCCATTAAGAACAAGTCCAGCGCAAGGGGCTAGCCCAGGCAGGATGGGGCCTTAGGCCCCGAAGGCAGCTCTAGTGCGCAAGATCCAACCTGGGCAAGGAGTGGGACCCACGAGCCTGGGCAAGCCCACTAGGAGATCCGGCCCATCCTCTTGCCTTCGAGTTGTTGAAGTTAGCGCAAGAATTTCAAATTGGAATGCACACACCAATGGTAAAAAATGTTTAAATTTCTTGCCCTAACGTCAGTGCTAACCCACAGCTGCTAGAAACCAACAGCTAAAAGCCACGTGGCTTCTCCTAGAGTCTTCGATCCAAAAATCTCCTCTAATCCAAAATGTTGTTCATTTTTTGGCTAAAAAAAAATTGAAAATAAAAATTAAAAAAATTGTAAAAAGTATTAAAAATATTTGATTTTTTTTTATAAATACCTACCAATATTATCCACTTTCCACACCAAATCTTCATACAAATTCATCTCCTTACAATATTTTTCCCTTTTCACACAAAAATTTCTACTACTAAATTCCATTTGTGTACAAATACAAATGACCTATTCCATCGAAGCCGAAGAGGCACGTGGACAACCGTGGAAGATATTTTGTTATGTGAGTGTTGGGTCAAAGTTGGTCATTGTCCGATCACGAACAATGAGATGAAGTCCTCTCATATGTGGAGACAAATTCATGGAGAATTTTGTGAAAGATCAGGTTCGGCTTGTACAGAAATGACCTTGGCTAGTAGGTGGAAAATTTTGAATAAAGAGTTAGGGAAATAAATAGATGCTTTGGCAAAAGCGAGGGAGAACATTCTAAGCGGTCAAAATCTTAGCGACGAGGTAAAATATTTCTAAATGTCATTTTATTCAATTTAATGTCACATTTTTTTATATATAAATATTTTCTTGCATTTCTAATTATATTTTTTTTAATAGATTATTCAAGCACAAATGTGGTTCGATTTGCCATTTCAGGTTTATTTTTTTTTTTTTTTTTTTTTTTTTTTTTTTTTTTTTTATCCAATGTTGGGACGTTGTGAAGAATTGTTCGAGATTCAAAATTATTTCCATTGGTCTGACGATTGTGTTGAATGAGACGCCGCTTCTGTTTGGGCCAAAAAGAAATCTAAAAGCGCCAACCCATCTTCGCAAAGAAAGGCCCACAAAACAGAAAGGAACAAAAGACTGGGCTTTGATTCCAAAAAAGAGAACCTAATCCACTTCAGAAGCCCACGTCTTTTTTCGAAATGGCAAAGTCGTAAAAAACGCCAAAATAAATGGCGGTTTAAACAACTAAACAGATCGATAAAAGAAGAATTGAATTGGGCCCAGTTTCTAAATCCTACCATACCCTCAAAGAAGCCCAGGAACAAGTCAGCAGATTTTTTCTGGAAAATCTATTCTCAACCTATGTGATTGCCTGACTTTGAAAAGTCAACAATATCAACTATCACAAAGAAGCTAGTAGAGAGTTAATGAAGGCAGGTATAAGAGAAAGACATCTCTGAATCTCTGCCACCAAAAGACCGAAATCCCTTTCTATATAATTATGCATCAGGATAGGCATCATTTCCAAAAGATAAGCAGACTACGTTTTCAAGAGATAAGTAGAGAACGAGGGAGTTGTTCAACAAGAAAAGCAAACTGACCATCATGGCAGACTGTGTTCTTTCTCTCTGCAAAGAACAAACAGGGAACAAAAAAGAGTTGGTTTTTCTTTCAGAAAAAGCAAGGAAAAGACCTCCATAAAAACTAATTATTGATGATTCTTCTCTGTCAGAACAGATAACTTCCCATTTTCTTTGATACAAAAAAAAAAAAAAAAAAAAAAAAAAAAAAATATTTTTAAAATCTTTTGTAAAAAAAAAAAACCATTATTTAAAGATTAGAAAACCAAAATCCAGTATTTCCTATAAATATGAGAGGAGGTGAACAGATCAAAGGACAACCAAAAAATCAATCAAAAACAAAAACTCAAAATGATCACTTGATCTCAAAAGCCTTCAAAACACTGAAGCAACCAAAAGTTCATTGAGCCACAAGAAAGAATCTTTAAACTTCAGTTTAGACTTAAAGAAACAAGTCATTCAAAATGAGATTTCCCTCGTTACAAATTTGGTTCAGCATAAGCCAAATCAAGCAGAGTTCGGGTTTTACAAATATGAAAACCTCAACAAATTTATGGAGAGCCCTGATCAAGCAGAACATGTACTACAATGCAGTTCCAGCTCAGTAATCATCAAATCTAGCCACTTCTGCCCCTTTCAGACTGAAGAGGCTCAATTCTACTCGTTCGAAAAGCCTTTCACGGCTTGAAATAGATTAAAGCTCTGCCAAACTCGAACGTTGGTATCGATTTACAGCTGAAACTCCACAGTTGAAGGTGTTGATAGTCCAGTCTAGCACAGACATACCCAGTCTAGCCCGTATCAGAAGCATCTATCCAGGCAGAAATGGAAGTCCAGCCCTTTTTTTTAATCTTTCTAGAGTTGGTTTTCCCTTTTTGAGCTTTGTAAAAGCCAGTTCTGCGTAAAACAGTTCACTTTCTTATCATTTGTTCTGGCTAGAACTACTAGTTTTGTACTGTGAAAAATTGTGAATTCCTCACCAATCTGAGGCAAGAAAAGAACTTACTTTGGAGATATTCCTTACCCAAATTCACAATCGCTTGTTTAGAAGTCAGTAACTTGGGGGCGTAAGTTATCTATTTTTAATAAGTCTGCTAGGATTTTCATTGCTAGCAGTGGCACACTCGCATACAAAAGAAAGTTGACTTGTTGACAGTCAATGATTTTCGAGACAATGGGAAATTTTACCATACCAGCACAGAAACAAACATAAAATGGGTGAACAGCTCCAAGATTCACCGGCAACCGATTTACCATTCGACTCCCCAATGGATCAAGACTCACTAATCTAATGTGAGTCGAAGCCTAATGGGAGAAAGGGGGCAAAGGCCAAGAGATGGAGTACTTTGAACACTAAATGTGTAAAAATTTTGGAGCAGATTGCTAAGAACGGCGCACTGAGAATCAAGAGAGACTTGAAAAGAGAAGAAGCTGATAAGGCACAACATGAAGCATATGCAATTGAAAGAGAGCATGCACAACAACAAGACATAGAGGACAAAGAGATGAAAATCATGGCTATAGATATAAGCCATATGTCTCCTGAAACAAAGTCATATTGGAAGCTAAAATGAAGGAATGTTATAAGAAGAAAGCTTTTCCATGACGATGGACCTAGCAACACGGATTGGTTAAATGATCAAAACCATTAAGTTGTATTGAAAGAGTTGCCATATGTATTAATTTGTTGTATTGTTTCTCTTTTATTGAATAAAGAAAGCATTAAATAATAAAGCTATTTATTAAAAACATTTCATACATCAAAACAAACCGTAATTCATTACAAACCACACACAAAACAAAGCATAATTAAAAATAAACCATAATTGAAAACAAATCGTAATTTAAAACAAACCATTATTAAAAACAATGCATAATTCTAAACAAAGCATTAAACTTGACTTCATCTAACGTGATTGCCTTTCATCATCCATAAGTGCTCGATCAAGTTAACTTGACATCTCTCAGGAAAATAAGAAGATTGCATTTCCATATAGCGGTCAATCATACAGTTGTTTTATCGACTGTCCCTAATCAACGGTTCGTGCCCCAGTAGTTCTCTATTTGCTCCCAAGGGCCGTTCATAAATTCTTGTCAATGACGTGTTCATGAGATCGAGTGCAAACATCTCTGGGGCGTCATAATCATACTCATCATCCACAATCATGTTATAGAGGATGATGCAAATCATCATAGTGCTCCGAAGCACATCTTCATCAAACATACGAGCAACATCCCCTAATAATTGCCCAACGAGCTTGCAAGATACCAAAACACTTTCTCACATCTTTCCTATAACCTTTTTAAAAGGTAGCAAAGCTTTTTTTCTTTATCCAATTGGAGATTCACAATTGTTTTGACGAATGTTGTCCACCTCGGATAAATTCCGTCAACGAGGTAGTACCCACCCGAGTATACGGTATTGTTGATTTGATACATGATCTGGGGGGAATGACGTTTCAACACATCGTTGAATACCGGGGATTGACCAAGCACATTGAGGTCGTTTTGAGATCCGGCAACTTCGAAAAAGGTATGCCAAATCCATGTATCGAATGATGCAATGGCCTCCATAATTATAATTTTTTTGCCCTTCTTATTCTCGTAATCTCCTTGCCAAGAAGTTAGGCAACTCTTCCACTGTCAATGCATGCAGTCGATGCTTCCAATCATGCTTGGTAAACCTCAAGCCTCGACTTTTTGTAGAAGCCTTTGGAGGTCTGTAGGCGTAGGTTTACGAAGGTAATTCCTCATGTAGAGAGCTTATCTTGCATCACAAAATTTGACCAAGCACTCTAGGATAGTTGATTTCCCCATCTTAGCAATCTCATCCACTTGGTCTGCAGATGCCCCATACGCAAGTATCCGTAAAGCAGCTGTAAGTTTTTGCTTCAGAAGAATACCCAAAACCCTAATAGCATCGTACTTCTGAACGAAGTATGTGTCGTAATTACAAACATCATGCATGATTTTGTTGAACAAATAGGGTTGCATTCTATATCTCCCTCGAAAATAAGAAATAGGATATAACGAATTTGGGATAAAGTAATTTTTCAAGAGATTTTTACCCCGAGAGTGCCTATGTCTGTCCACGTTCAGGACACGACCATGGTGGTGTTGCCTTGATTGATTGAGCATACCCACTGCGTAAACAACTTCATCCTCTTCTTCATGCAACTCACGATCTTCTTCAGCATGTCTGAGCCTAATTTCTTAATCTTCTTGCTGTTGCCTCTCTAACACCCTCCTCATGTTAGACATTGAGAGTAGAATGTGTTTTGTAAAATCTGATAAATGAAAAGATAGAGAAGAAATGGTGTGAGAGATCTGAGTTGATGGTGTAGTTTTATAGAGAGATTTAGAAGATAGAGATGACACGTGGCACAATTTTAAAGGGTGAAAATATGTGATTAAAATTTTATAATAAATATCGACAAGTTGCCAGGGACGGACCCAGGATTTCAAAATGACGTGGGCTAAATTTACCTTACATACAAACCTATTGAAAACTCAACGGTACGAGTAAATTTCATTGATAACAAAAAAAATACACGGGAGACATAATGAGTCTTACCCCTCAAATAACACTTATATATGTTACGCCATTCAAGTCTTCACCGCATTAAAATCACTAATTATTGATTCATTATCTATATTATCATCAAATTTTCTTTCAATATGAAGTAGCATACAATTAGCAAGAAACTCATCACCTATCTTATTCCAAAGTCGATTTTTAATAAGTCTCCTACATGAAAATGCTAATTCTATTGTTGTTGTAGACACAGGAAGAGTTAGCACCAAACGAATCAATCTATCAATCAAGTAGTATGTTTATGCTAATTTTGTTCTTTTTATTTATTTGTTGGTCAGCCTAGTCCTAATAGGATTAGTTAATAATATTTTATTTAGGTGGTTAGACTAGTCCTAATGGGATTAATTAATAATATTTTATTTAGGTGACCTAGGCTAGAATATTAATTTAGTCTATAAAAAACAAGCTGCTTGGGCTTTAGCCCAGGTTAGCATGTTAGTAGGTACGTGCATGTACGTGGCAACCGAGAATCTTATCTAAAATTTGATCTGAATGTTATAATATATATAGACACATGACTAGGCCTCATCATTTGGCCCGCGGGCTCATGGGCCGATGGGGGCCCGCCCGGCCCGGCCTGATTAAGCCCAAGAAAGTCCGGCCCGGCCCGCCCACAAAAGCCCGGCCCGTTAGGCCAGTATACATATATAATTATGTATAAATAAGAGTTTATGATTAGGATTATATCACTTAAATCACATATATAATTTGTTTCATTTCATTTACTTTTCTTTGCCCATTCCTAGTTTATAATTGGATGATTAGCACATTAATTTGTGTCAATTATTAATACAACAATTATATATATATAAATAAGATGAGCAACATATCATATCACCAAATATAATCATATCACGAAACATAATCGTACCACCAAATATAATAATGCTTTTCTTGAACACATCACCAAACATTTGCATATTTATTCATACAATCCTTTAAAAAAAATATTTTTTTTGATACTTATTATTTTTTAAAATTATTTCTTAAAACATATTACGGTCTAATTATGTAATAACCTCAAAAATAATACTTGGTTTTATTATTTTTGTGGAAAATCTTATTAAGTTGTGTGACTTTATTAGGTGTTTTATGAATTTGGTTTGACGTGAAAATATTGGAATTAAGTGAGTTTAATCTCAAATTTGGACTAAAATGCCCTTATGATTAAGTTTATGATTTTTTTCGAATGAAGTAGGCCCGTTTTGGCCTAGCCCGTTGGGCTTAGCCCGGCCCGATGGGCTTTCTCAAGCCCGGCTCATGGGTCAGGCTTGGGCTTTGAATTTTCTAAAAAAACCCGGCCCGGTATTTTCTCTCTCCTCTTTAAAGCCCGGCCTAGCCCATTGACGAGCCGTGCACATGACAACCAAAAATCTTATCTGAAAATTTAATCCCAAAATTTAATTCGAAAATGTTATCTTAAAATTTAGATGAGAATTTTATAATAAATAGTGACACGTGGTAATCGAAAATCTTATCAAAATTAATCGTTTAAGTATAAAAAATTAAAAAAAAATTTATAAATAAACACAATCCTAGACATGTATTTATAAAAAAACCCAAACACTATTTAAACATAGAAACACACCCAAAATCAACCCCAAAATCAACAATTGTATATTTTTTGGGTGTGTTTATAAATGGGTTTTGAGTGTGTGTAATGATGGGTTTTGGGTGTTTATAAAGTGTTTTGGGTGTTGGGTTTTTTTATAATTTCAGCCCCCATTTTGGGTGTTTTAGTGAAACTCCCAAATAAAAATAAAATAAAGTGAATAGTAATTACCCTTGCCTTTACTTTCCCTTTTGAGGTGGAAACAAAATATGTAAAGACAGCTACTATTCACATAAATAATGACAAAACTTACCTTACCCTTTGAGGTGGAAGTGCTCTAAATACGCAACTTCATAGCTAAATAACATAATTGAATGAAGGCAAGTGCTTTCACCGATCATGTTTTGATTCTTGAGTTTTGTTCACAAGCCAAGAAAAGAAAATAAAAAATATTAATCTGATCCAATGGGCCTTTTTGCAGGGGAGTTGGTTCACTTGGGAGTGTTTGTTAGTGCATATCCAGCCCGTGGTCCCATCTAATCCTTTTATTAATGATTAATTTACTTTAAATTTAAATTTTAAAGAAGATATCCTCTCTGGGATCTTCAACCTTATCCACTTTGTTAAACTAGTACGCAACTTCTGAAAATGATAGCCACACCCGATGGCCTATGATGATGTTTTATTTGAATGTCCCGAAAGTTCTCCGATTGGCTCTCTATTTGGATAAATTTTGCTCTAATAACTCAAATTTAAGTCAATTATTTACATATATTTCTTTTTAAACAAACGATATTAAAGAGGAGAAATCGAACCTACGAACTTGAATGCATCACTTGAGCTATAGCTTTATTACAATTAATTATATCATTAGAAACTAAAAAAAAAAATAACATTGTCTTCAAAAAAACTTAGCATATCCTTTTCTTTTTTTTTCAACAAGACAAAATAAAGAAATGTGCTAATAGATTATCCGTGGATTCATGTGAATATATACGATATTCTAAACTTGTCTAATCTTAGCAAAAGAAAAATAAATAAATAACTTACCTAATTTAAAAAAAACAAACCTTAAGCATCACGCATGGCATAATTCCACGTGCCCAGCCTGCAATACTTAGAAAACTGAAAGGCCGAAACTGTTCCTTCGCCCCAAAAACGAAAAATCTAGACGCTCGTTACCAATTGTCAAATCACCCAAATCCCAATATGGTAACCGGTGGTGCCTCCAAAAAGCGGCAACGCGCCGTACACACCGCCAACTCACCTACCGCCAGCAGCTCCAGCCGCCCTTGCGCCGCCATCATCATCGACTCCGACTCCAAACGACCCACCCACCCGAACCCGAACCCGAACCCATTTCCCAAACCCAGCCCAACCGCTCCCCACTCCTTCAACGACCCTTCCTCCGCCGACGTTCTCCTCCGCCTCTTCGTCGACCCCTCCCCTCTCGACCCCCCAGCGACGTCGTTTTCTACCTCCCCCACCGCCCAGCCCCAAGACGACGTCGTTCTCCACCTCCACGCCCACGCCCTCCGCCGCTGCAAGTACTTCGCAGCCCTCTTATCCGACCGATGGCAGCGCCACCCCCAAAAAGAAGCCGTCCGCAACATCAGCCTGCGGGTCCCACCGACCCCTGGCGCCATGGATGCCCGCATTGCCCTCCTCGAACTCCTCTACAACTCCGACCTCGCTTCCGCCATAACCACCGTATCGGCCGCGCTCGACCTTCTCCCTGTCGCTTCCGAGCTCATCTTCGACGACTGCGTCCGATTCTGCCTTCGCTTCCTCGAGGCGGTTCCATGGACGCAAGACGAAGAAACCCGAGTTCTTGCCCTAATCCCTCATTTGAGCGAAGACGAAGCCAAAGACCTCATGGCTAGGGTTTCGGGAGCTCCCGATTCGAGCGAGGAGATGCTGTACGGCCTCATCCTTGCCGTGACTCACAACCAGAGCATGGCGTTCGTCAAGGCCTTTGTCGCGAAGCTGCTGCGCGAGTTCGGGTCCAGAGAGCTGGTCGAGCGGGTTATGGATCGGGCGTTTCAGACCACCTTCAAGGTCGTCAAGGAGGCCATGGAGGAGTACACGAGCCCTCGAGTCCGTGGCAACCATGACGAGACCGAGGCCATCCAGAGGATCAACCTCCACACGGCCATGACCAACGGCAAGCACCTTCTGTGGCTCGTCGAGAGGATGATCGAGCTCCGAGTCGCTGAGTCCGCCGTGAAAGAGTGGAGCGAACAGCCGGCTTTCACCGCCGATTTGCAGAGGGCGTTTCGGGACGACGCGTGGAGGAATATCGTCCCGAGCCTCCCTAGCGTCTTGCTTCGCTGCACTTCGAGGCTGGTCAATGCGGTCGCTACTGGTACCATTTTGGTTGCTTCTCAGGTATTGTATTGTTTTCTTGTTAGAGTGGTTGAATATCATGTGCTTGAATTGCTTGCTTGGGTTTTTGTTTGTTCTACTTTTGGCTATTGATTGGTTCACATGGTGCATTCCTCAATTAGTTTTGATGTTTGTGGCTCAATTTTGATGGGGATTGCTCAACATAGGAGCTTCTTTGGTTATGTTTTTCACCCCATTTTTCAAATTGATGGTATAGTTGAATAACATTAGAAATTTAGAACAGAACAGGAAGGGAGAGCTAATGTGCTCTGATGTGGGTTTCTTCAAATATTAGCAAAATGGCCTTTTGTGTGGAATCTTATTGGGCTGTTTGGATTTATGCTGAACACACCTGAGCTATGGCTATGGCATTGACAGAACCAGCAGTCAGTATGTTCTGTAAATGGTTCTTCAATAGTAATTTTGGATTGTGGAAAATGGAAAGAAGAGTGGAGAGGTGGAGGGAATTTTAACAGTTTTCCCATTTGGATGGTTAAATGTGGATAGAAATGGAGAGAAGAGAAGAGTCTCGCAATCTTATGTTTGGGTCACTTTTTACAACTCTGGAATTGGATTCGGAGAAAAAAATGAGACTTGCATCTTGTTTGATTATTAAAAGTGGAATTTTTTTCTCCATTTGTTTCCTATCCATCCAAACAAAAACAAAAGATAATAGAACACTTCTCTGTTCTCTCATATTTATTCTCTTTTGTTGAAGCGGAAAATACATTGTATGTTGCTTTTTACTGAAGTGTGTATAGGCGAGATCTATGCTCTTTTTCCTCTTTGGCTGGGTGTGGTTATTTCCTTAAAATATGCAGTAGTTATGTTTCTCTTTCTAAACCGCGCTTCAGAAATATGTTTTCCAGTTTACTTGATAATGCTTCTTGGTTATTAACACAATTTCACCACTGTTACTCGCATCCTTGTTTCTTAGGTGTTCAGGGGATTAACCAAGTTATTTCGATTTCTACTTTTGAAGTTACTGGTGTCCCAGACAGATCAAGTAACCTAAAACTGGTACCTATAATTATTTTTCAGGTGCGAAAGAAGCTTGTCAAAGATTGGCTTCCAGTTCTGATTGTTTGCAAAGACAATAATGCTTCACCTCTGACACCGAGTAACAAACCACTGTACTTGGATCTGGAAGAGACATTCCTCAGAATCATCTCTACACTGCCTATGCCAGATGCACAGGAGTTGCTGCAGCAATGCCTCAGCTTCTCTACCCGAAATGTTGAGGACTGCCCTCACTTGGTCACGGCATTCAACACCTGGTTCCGCCGTGCGACTCATCCCCCTCAGGCACAGAATCTTTGTTAGAACCACTTGGGGTTTGTCTTTTGTTTATAGATGAATTAGTGCTGCCTTATAGTCTTGCCTTGTGGATATTTAGGCTCTCCTCTGGCATTGTGCATATTACCCTGTTGCCCTGGAGAGCCAAAAGTTTGCACCAAGTATATATAAACATAGAACCTCTGCAACAAAAAGGAAGTTTAACTGCTTTTGATGCTATTACTCGTAGCTTGCCTTCCTGGCCACCTGTGGTTTTTCAGTTTACTTGAATTTCAACCAGTGGTTAAATTTTGAATGGATAACTGGATCCTGAAAAATAGATTGCCCCTCTTAGGTAAATATTCGTTTTGTTCGGCCGAGGTGCTGATGCCACTCTTGTACACATTTATATAAATAACTGTTTTCAAGTTGTATTTGTTGGCTCACTAACTTGAAACCAATTTTGGTAAATTCTGAATTGATCCGCCATCAAATTTGGGGCTTGCTTGCTCGTGCTCTTGCTCCTCTATCATGTCATTTGGGTTTGAGGTTTGCGAACTGCAGATGATTTTTTTTTCCTCTCTTTGGTCAGTTATTCCAGGCTATCTTTGTTACTGGCAATTCATAAGAGGCTTGCGCTCTTTTTTTTTCTTTTCAAGAAAAGCACTCTAATCAAAACCCAACAAGTTGGTGAACCATTTAACAAGAATGACGTAAATTTTGGTCACATTCCATTCAACCAAAAATCCACTCTTATCAACTCAGAAACAGGTTTTGGGAACCTGTTGCCTTTATGGTATGTTTACATTTGAAACAAATCACTCCATTATTTCAGATAAGACATGAACCTTGATCCAAAAAGGGATATGTGAGAAACCACTTAATACTTATCTGGCATTGGATTGTAGCTAAAATGAAAATATTTGGAAATTTAAATTACAGTAGCTGCCTTCTAAAGTTCCGGGTGGTGCCTTGGTAGGTTCGTATGAGCAACCCGACTCCAATGCCAACCCCGACACATATGCTCAAGCCAATCCCAACACCCACTCTCACACCAGCATTGAACCATGAAAGCTCTCCATCTTCACCTTCTACATATGCTGTCCTCCAGTACATGTTGTTTTCTCCATTTTCTGGTTTGTAATATGAGTATTCCGACTCCTGTGAAGTTAAATTAAATTGACATGTTCAAATCGAGACAAATTAAAATGAAATGCAGAATGCTTGTTCAGCTGCACAGAAGCATAATGCAAGTGAACTAGGACTCAGCTGCACAGAAGGGTTTTGAAAACTTAAATGAATTTAGTTCTATAGGTATGCATAGTATGCAATATGGCCTCAAAAGACAAGTAAACAAGTGATAATTTCCTATACTTTGAACCATTCCATCTCCTTAGCACGGTATCTGTTCTATTTTCTTAAATTATTATTTCATGAGCGAATTCGGGGCTGGAGAATTTGCCGAAATAAAAAATCACAGGAATATCGTACATCTATACCAGATGCAACTCAAGGACATATAAGATGTAGAACTGAGTATTATTCTATTGATCTGTAGTTTCTCAACACGAACCCGTATGGCCAAAAGATTGTATTTGCTAGTCTGGGCATCCAGTATGCAATAACTTATCTGTTTTGTTTTGTTTTTTTATGCTGATGTAACAGCAGAGCATTGAGCAGTAACAAACCATGAAATCAGATCAGCCATGGCCATGGCTAATGAAACATTAATATAACAAAGAGCAAGGCATCTAAATTCAAAATACATAAAGCCTACAAAAAATACCAAATGGACAGTAGGTACCTGAAAATCAAATCTAGAAGGATTGTTCCTCTGGTTTTCAGTTGCCTCATACTCTGGTATGGAATCCAACAACCGTTTCCTCACATGCTTCTTCCAAAGGCCAAGCTGCAAAGTCTTTGTTAAAATTATTGGAGTGCCCGAGAAGGACCCCGCGATGTATACCTCAATCGAAGGTGAAGCAGATTCTGCACCGGTAAATTGCTTTCCTTTAAAGAAGCCACTGCTTGCACTTATATCAGATTCACAATTCATGCTCCATCTCTGGCCATGGTGATCTGTTTCTGCATTGAAACCATTACTATTACACAGTTCTAAAACCCCAGATAGCACAACAACATCTTTATCGAAAACCTCAAACTTTACACTTCCAGTCATTCTTATACTGTCAGTGCTCACAAATGTAGCTTCTTCAGACTTCTTATCTAACCGGTCCCTTCGAAGAAGGGTTGTTGCCCCATCTGAATTGATGCTAGTTCTAACACCATTGACTTCAAGAAGGGTATCAGGATCCAATGGAATATGATTTACTGTGAGGAATTCTGGAGCAGAATCATCGATCTCACATTTGCTAATTCTAACATAAAAGACTCTTACATCAAGCCAGGGTAGTGATACCTTGATGCAGGGTTGGTAGTTGGATTGCCTCACAACCATTTGGCCATTATCAGTTGGCCCATGGCCATTTGATTCCTCATAAAAATTACCCATGATCCTCAATGGTTCACTTTTCCTCAATTAAATCCTTCCACCTCACTTGAGTTGATGAATAAAGATAGTCCATACAAATGGAAATCCTATGAGCATGAAGAACCTGCATCCATATCAGTGAAAAGAGAAATTTATTCAAAATGAAAGAACTCTCTGTTTGTAAGAGAAGATAAGAACGAAACCAACTACGACAAAGGAGAACCCAGTTGTAGAGACAAAACCATTATCAGAAGAATATAAAAATAGCAAGAGAGGAAGCTAAACTTAAGTGAGAAACAGAGAACAAATCAAATATGCAAGTTTTTCTGTAAGAACTCAAGTGAGAAACAGAAAGCTATTAATTGCTGAACCTGAGCAGAAAACCATATATGCAAGTTTTTCTGTAAGAACTCAAGTGAGAAACAAAAAGCTATTAATTGCTGAACCTGAGCAGCAGGAGAAAGGCTTCCATGAATGGGGGATAGCAACCCCGGCCAATAACGCTATGACATGCATGATAACATTTCCACATGGCATAGTATTATTGGTCGGGGATAGCAGTGCTATCTCGTTGCAACTAAGTTTTTCTCGAGCTGAAGGCCAAAGAAACACCAAAGCAAAGCAAAATAAAGAGATAAAAGAAGGGATAAGATGGAAAAAAAAATGGAGAAAATCCAAAAACCAGAAGTCTCGAAATTTGAAACCCAAAGATTAATGGCTGAAGCCCAACATCAGGGTTAGTTTTAAAATCACATCAAACCAAAAACAATATACAAAAAATAGAGAGGGAAGACTAGAGAGACAAAGCCAAAGGATTGAACTAAAAAATTACAATCTGGTAGCAGCAGAGCAACAAAGCTAAAGGTATTCTTCTACTCCAAATTGTTGAATTAGTATAGAATTCAATACAAGCATTCAACCCAACTGCTGACCCTGCAAACTGCAAAACTAGTTATCATCATAATTCGTAACTGACTGAAGAAGAAATTAATAGACCTCACAGACCCCAACAAAATGACCGGCGGTAAACGACATATTTCCCACGACATTTAACAAGCAGACAAACTGTGTGTGCGCGTTTAATCACCAAAACTAATTTAGTAACGTAAAACTCACCACATCACAAACATCTCACAGGCTCCAATGGTCCGATACACCAAAATAAAAGCTTTTGATTCACCACAGAAAATTTGTGGCCAGGAAAAGCAAATCACAAGCTATCGAATCAGAAAATGGAGAGCTACCCAAGTTCTGGCTATGAGAAACAGAATTGGGTTGTGATTGATTTGCAAGAAACAAGACCAACCCAAGTCCTCAAATTCAGAAAGAACAACTGGGTTTCTCTTAATTTCGGATTTTTTAGTTTTATTTATAAGAAGTGGGGGCCACTATGTATCAGATGAGATCTTATCCTAGAAGGAGAGAGAGAGAGGGCATGCAGGTAGGCCAGGGTAATGAAATGAAAGGGACGTCCTAGCATTTTCGGCCGTAAGAATCTAATGGAGGAGGATCTTAATCCCATGTCGGTAAAATAGAACAGAAACTACTTAGATTTCGACATCTTTTTCTTGCAAGTTGCAAGCTTTAAGGATGAGTTGTAGCCGTGTATTAGTATGAAGGCAAGTTTTACCAAACGATTGAGCATGGCTAGTATTAAGGTTAATGGCGGGGACCAACAAGGACGTTGACGTTTAAAAACAAGGTGGGCTGTGAACATAGGAAAATTACGACATTTCTCTGCTTTTTGCTTTATATATATAGATTATACGGACAATATTCACTTGCCAAACTTATATGTACTGCTGCTGACCAAGCCTTTCGGTGGATTTTCTGCCTAATCTTTGACGATTAAACTCTTTTAGTTTGATTATGATTTCAATTAAGGACAATTTGTTAAATTTACAAACAGATATCGACCTTCTGTTACGTAATAAACGAGTGGAGGGGTGAAATAGACCTTTTAGAGTTGAGTAGGTCTTTCTTCAATTTGCACCTTGAAATGTTCTTGTTACATAATAAACGTGTATAGGGATGAAATCACCAAATTGGAATTCTCATTCTGACTGCGGAAGTTCTCTTTGGATCTAAAACTCTAACACGCTTAAAATGCCAAATTTGCCTCTCCATGTGTTCATCATGTGACGAAAAGGTCAAATTCTGTTTGTTAAATATACGAATTGTTCTTAATGTTTTTAATTCCCAAAATTAAAACTACATGTCCTCCAAAGATCAGATGATAGCGAGGACCATTTATAGACTCACCCATCACCATAGGTTTGTTCGATTGATAAGTCCTCACATGAAATGTTTGTTTGTAGCATGCGCTCTTATATGCGTTCATTCGTAACTTTCAGTTGGCACTCATCACTCGTAGCACTACTAGAATGCGTATGTGATCACTTAGGACTCGTTCGGCACTACTTAATAAGCGTTCTTTTTGGTCATTTCAAAAACAATCTCAAACATATCCTTGATTGAAATCAATTTCGACAATTGAACATCGCATCTCCAAATTCCAACAATTAACCATTTATCTATGTATTTTAAAGATATGGCATTAACATCTTCATCTGAAGAGGAGAACATTTGGGTCAAATTCTCATGAATCTTATGAACTTGATAGAAACTTGCTAGTCACACTAGATGGATGTTATCTTAATCAACCGAAACAATGGAATTACAATGATGCGAGAGGTTTTCACGGAAATCGTTACATCATGTGCCATCACCCATCACAAATGTCTAACAGTTGAAGTAAAAACCAAAATTGATCACAGAAATCCTTTAAGAAATAGCAATTTACATGCCATTAGCACATAAGGAGGAGCGCAGTACAGTTCAACTTGATCGAACCGAGGCCAGGTTGCTTGGTTAAATTCGGTTCATATTCAGCTTGAATCAAGAAGCCCTACCCAAGAATAATTTATAATTAGCCAAGGTTAAATTCTCATTAAACATAAATCATCATTTACTAAAGAAACATATGTGAAAAATCACACAATTAAAGTATCTAACATTTGAGGTTCTCATGTTTGAGTAGTTTAGTGGAGTTGCTTTAACACATTAATAGGTCTTATTGCAGAGTATTAAAACATATAAACTTCACAGGTGATCAGACTATGCAGTACCTGCAAGATTATGGTAACTAAGCAAATTTTCTGCATTTCAAATGGACAGTCGAACAATTCATCGATCACCTTGACAGGTATAATTTACTCTCTAACATAAAATGAGATATGCCCGGTTGAACTAGGAGGATGGCAATTGAATAGTGCCCCCACCCTTCAAGCCATGTCAGGCCTAATCACCCAACCTATCTCAACTTTTCCTATCTATATTATAGAATACAAGAGTCACCAACTATGGCTTCAACTTAGCACCACCCATCAGGGTGCTCCCTAGGGAACTATCTCAAATTTCTCTATCAGCCATTGGTCATTTTGAAACCCACGAAGAGCAGACTGAGGGAATCTCATGAGAATTTGCAGGAACTCCAACCCAGCTATATTTTCCACACAACACAAGTTTGTAAATGCTTTGGCCATTTGATTGCACACAAGTCTTTTCTATTTGTTTTTAAATTCTTGATTTAACAAACCCTAAGTCCTACATTGAAGAATAGGCAAAACCAAGTTTAGCTTCACTCAATCAGTCTGAGGTCACTTATTGACACAATCTCTATAAGTGAACGCATGTGTATTCAGGACAAGAAAACACAAAAATTGTCCTCAGACGCCTACCTTAGAAACGTACATGTAATAATTAAGACAAAGTGAAAACTATAATTTTGGAACATCAAGTGTATCTCACACAATGCAATTGCCAGAAAGCAAAGGAAAACGAAAAAAGGCAGAGGATGGAGTAACCAATATGCAAGCCAATTTGGTTCAAAAACTTGAAATGACCCGAGCCTGGAGTCTTTATCACCGAGGAACTGCAGCTTCTAGAAAGTCCAATGAAGAAATAGGAAGAGATCAGCGGATGAAGAAATTCTACCGATAAAGAGAAAGAAAAAAAAATTGTTTACTGTGAGTAGGATAAAATATATTGATGAAGGGTGTGGCACGGAAGAGCCTAAGATTAATACATCAATTCAAAGGGGAATGATGACAACAAACTGCATCATATTTCAGATCAGCAGCAAATCAACAAAGTCAGTGGTTCTTTCATGGAACCAGACTTGCACTAGCCTACATCCTATAGATGTTTTGAGAACAATGAGAAGATTTTAATTTGAAGATGTCCAGCTTGTATTCTTATTTTCCTCTATCTACCTAGATGGAAACAAGAAGATCAAGTACATACAACCTTCCGATAGTGATGTAGGACACGTCCTCATCAAATAGAATATCCCATATTTTCATACCTTCTGCTGGCAGAGGTAAGAGAATTTGGCAATGAGCAAGAAATGAACACAAACAGGTCTAGCTGAATAATGCTGTGACCTAAAATATACTTAAATTTCTCCCTTCCCCCTGACCAACAACCAGCCTTGCACATTTTTCTAATTTTCTTCTTAATAGCCATATATAGTAGTATGATCAAATATGCCATTTTTCCATCTCAAATTATCAATTATCACATAAACCAAGCCTAACAGTAATCTAATTGTTTCACATTCACATTAAAGAATATACACAATATATGCAACTATGAACCATTAAAAGAAAATATATTGACAACACAGAAAGTTGCAAAGAAAAAATACATGCATCCAAATGGATCATTTTTATCAAACTGCAATTTCTGTGCACATTCCATGTAATTTGAAATATAAAAAAGCAGAATATCCTCAAAAGTACCACTGAACATCTAACGGAAGTTTAACAGCAGCAACTAAGTAGCTGAATTAACCAAGCTGACATAAGCTACGCAATACAGAGTCCAAAATTTCAAGACAGGGAAGATTCTTTTTCTGTTGAGAAAGTGACACAGAAGGGAAAACCTATGCACTGATTACCTCACATAGCCAGCGGGCCTTGTCACAACGGTGATGCAAGACCTATACCACGATGCAGAAAAATGAGTCAGAAGACACCCAATGCAGAAACAAGAGGTAATCAGTGCGCCACTAGACAAGAAATGACTACCTTAAGAGCTATCCATTAATGAACAGACTGTATTAACCATGTCTGTGCACTGGAAACTTAAATTAACATCTAACTTTGACACTGACCCAAATTTTGGTTCTCCAAATTAATGAGCAAAGAAGGCTAAAATTTATGTAACTGGAGAAAGGAGACAGCTTTGTTGAGAATTATTTCTTCTTTATTTACTCAACTATTCCAAAAAACCAATAAATCCTAAATCTACTTCACACAACAACCAAAAGAAATAAGAAAAGAACCACAAAACACTCCCTACTTCCCATTACCAATATAGTTATAGGTCCGAATAACAAAAAAAAATAGCTCCCTAAAGAAACAGAAAAAGAAAACAGTTCAACAAGACAAACATAAATGAAAAGAGGAAAAGAGGAAAAGAGGAAAAGAGAGTAGGTGGGTTACCTTGAGAAAGGCAGCTCCAGCAGGTGGAATCGACGGCAATGTTGGATTTGAGCCGAGCAGAAGCAATGGCACTGTGAAGTGGCATCATTGACTCCATGCTTCCCAATACCGAAACAAACCTATACAAATTGCAATGACAACAATTTCAGTTATTTTGCTTGTATTTATATCTTTCTTGAGGGAAAATGGGAGACCAAAAATGGGTTTCCGAAGCCATTGAAATTGTAAAAAACGGCTGAGTTGAAGAGTTTTGAGAAGATTGTACCTTGTAGCGCAAGGGATGGTTCTGGTGGCCGAAGCAAATGGAGACGACATGGCTGCAGGGTTTAGGGAGTTTAGGGAGCTCTGGCTGAGGGTTCTTGAGCGAGCCATGGATCTCGAGCCGGCCATTAGAGCTGATCTGCAGAGGGAAGCCATTTCTTGTTTCGGGGGATAGAGTAGCAGTGTAAAGAAGCAATGAGTTGAATGAATCACAGGTTCGATGATGCAGAGATGCAGACTCGCGCTTAAACCCTACCCCCTTGCTGATGCGGCTTTCTACGACGCCGTTTCGGTTCGCACTAAACACCTTCTTTCTTCTTCCTTTGCCTCTAGCTGTTTGGGCTGGACCGAGTCCTTATGATTTAGGGCTTGGGCAAACTTTGCCGGATGGGCCAGGTCAAGTCATTCTCGGGCCTCAGGTCATTCGGATGTATAACGCAATTCGGCGAAATGACGAAATTGGATCGTTTGCGCAGTTGGAGGATGGCAGTAACTGAAAAATAAGTTTATAAAAAATAAATAAAAACATAATTTTCAAGATAGGTCGTTTATAAAATAAAATAAAAACTAAAAAAAAAGTATTAAGAAGATTTGGACAGACTTGGTTTGGCTTGTTCAGTTTGGTTTCTTGCTTTTAAGTTTAGATTTTCTGGGTTAAGCCTTGTCCCTTCATAACTTCAAAATGATGCTTATTGTATATCGCATTTCAGTACTTTTATCTAAAGAAAAACAAAGACAAATAAAGAAACTTTGTATATACTAAGAAGAGAAACTAAAGCCGATCAAAATCGTGGCACAACTATATTCATCTACAGCTATCACTTGTAGAGTTAACATCTTAGATACAAGCCATGAGCTCTTCCATATATGATTCAGTCCATTTAGAGTAGCTGCTGTCGACATTCTCAGAGTTACTTGGGCTGCAAGCATCCTCCACTTTGGTTTCACAAAGTATTTGTTCAATGTTGAAGATAGGATTGTCCTCGAAGAATGTCAGATCAGTCGGATCAACATCGTCATAAGAGACCACAAGTTCACCACCAGTCAGACTAGAAGAGCAGCCTTGTTGTACATGTGATGATGATTCTTCCGTTGATCCCATTTGATGATCTTTTTTCATATTTTTGTTTGTGCTCCTCTTTTTTTGTACTTGATCTTGTGATGAACGCTTTAAATTTATTTCCTTACTCGAGGCCCTGTCGTTCTTCCTCATTCGACAAATCACGAAATCGAAATCGTAACTACGATCATTGTAGTCATTCTTGGGACCAACAAAAAGACTATATTCATCCAGTAACCACCATGTGTGCTCCTCGGACCCTTTATTCTCATAGCGGAATTTTCGTTTTCGGCCAATGGGGTTCGGGTTTCCATTGTCGTACTCAATAAGTTTGAAGGATTCAGTTTCACTCCAGGTACCGCCGTGGCCAATGCTACGATCCATGCGCTTTGGGCTTAACTTCTTGAGCCCGGAAAGGAAATACAAGTCTTGATCAACAAGTTGAGGCCCTCCGTACTTGTTCCAAATCTCCGAAGGCTCTAACTTGTTGCCGAAGAGATTGCAGGCACGGATGAAGTTGCTGTACGGCGGCATCAAAGGATTTCTGTCGACCAACAAGGTGTGGAGAAAGGAACCCACAATCTCTTTATCAGTGGGGTGGAAACGGAAACCTAACGGCACATTCTGATAATGTGCCATTGCTTGCTTGCTTGGTGCTGCTAATTAAGAAGAGAAGAGAAAGAGAAATCAAGTGACGTTGTTTGAGCGTAATCTGAATTGTATTTATAGGGAGTGTCCGGTTTAGGGTTTCTTTAGTTTCCTTCCTGCGTAAGGAAATAGAATTCCAGATGAAACATGGAAACTCTTTTTTGTCTTTTTCTTATTTTGTTTTAATTTGAAAGAAAATTTGATTGGCCTGAGCAGTTTTGGTACTTCATTATTATGTTTCTTTTTTGTCTTTTTCCAAATTGAATTGAATAAAAGGAGATTGGTTATCTGCCGCAATGTACGTGGTTCTGGTTAGGATCAGGAAAGGCATGAGGCCTTGAAGGACTTGCAGAGAAGCTTGACACAACTCCATCAAGTTTTCCTGGACATGGCAGTGATGGTTGAAAAGCAAGGGGAACAAATGGATGATATTGAACAGAATGTGGCTGATGCTGGAGCTTACATTCATGGTGGAACCAATGCTCTTTTTTCTGCATTGAAGCTGTTGACTGGGCTCTTTCAAAGCAGATACATGGTAATTGTGGCATTACTGTAAAAAATGCTCTTCTTGCTTCAGAAGATGGTACGTGTGGCATTACTGTAACTCTATTCTCATTTAGCAAACTTTTGTCTTACTGTAATGCTGTTATTGATGAATACCTTGTATGATTGTATCTACATCTAATGATACAAAAGCACCGATTTTTACAGGACAAAAGAATGGAATGGAAGTGAATGACAGTAGCAGTAAAGATTTAGAGGGCAATGCTGGGCATTTCTATAAAAAGTCTGAGCACCATGATGGAATTGACAGCGGTCCTGATGACTCTAATACCATAGAGAAGAAAGACATCCCCACTGAAATAAATTTTGAAGAGGAAGTAGACATTGCAAGAAAAGTTCTAAACAACTTGATCGCGTCTGCCACAGAAACGTCTCATGACGATCGACATTTTTGAATCTTCTGAGGAGCCCAGTAAATCATCTTTTGAGACTGCTAAAGCATCAGATGTTACTAAGCCTGAAAAGTTAAGCAAAAGCATGGCACCAAATCTTGAACAGACAAGACGAAGAAGATGATTTGCACAACAGAACAATTTTCATACGCAATCTTCCTTTTGATATCAATAATGAAGATGTAAAACAAAGGTTTTCTACCTTTGGGGAAGTGCAATCTTTTTTCACACAGTCCTTCATCCAGTCACCAAGTATGCTTTCAAATTTTGGTTTGATATGATTCCTACATCTTTATTGTGCTATTATGTTGTGGCAGGCGACCACAAGGAACTGGCTTTCTCAAGTTTTAAACAAAAGATGCAGCCAGTTCTGCAGTTTCAGGATGTTATATATGTTTTGAACTCTTTGATCGTTATGTCATGTTTGGCAGATTCATATGTCGGAATAGATACCAAGATCGCACTCTCCTGTTAACTTTTAGAAAATTAAAGTAATTGGTCAAAATTTGAAAGCTTTTAATTTAAATGTGAACTATAGTTTGACAATGTTCTTTATCTTCATTTGAACATAGACAATAAGTTGTTTTGGGAACATTCAGAACACAAGTGAAATCCACTATAAAAGCTGGCTACCACATACCGACTAGCTCTTGATATGGTGGTACGTTTCTTCCCAACGTTGGAGGATGTCTCAAATTCAAATCCTCACTCCCAATTGATAAAATAAATAAATAAATAAACAATGGCTCCCACATAAAATAGTGAAAGATGGACATAACAAGCAAAAGGGTTTTTCCTAGAGAGGTGCCATTTTTACACGACGGACGAAAAACTTTCATTTGTCAATTTAAAATTTTAAAATCCTTCATAATATAGTAAGCAAAACAAGAACCTTGCTTCTAAGCTTTGGGACCAATTGTTTATTCAATATCTGGTTGTTATACTGCATACTGAGGACAAAAGCTTTTATAGTGGATTCGCCCAACATGGACATACATTTCCATTCCAATCCATCATCCCATGTATGTAATCACTGTTGATGCACGACAAAGATTTCATTTTATGTGAAAAATAATCACCCGGCAGGGAGAGAGCTTAAGCAAACAAGATTAGAAAAAGCCATAAAGCTCCAAGGGGTATACAAGATTAGATCATCATGTATTGAAAACCAAAGTAACCAACTATAAGATATGAATGAACCAATGAGATATCCAAATTGTAGCATTGATGGAGGAGGGGAAAGTGATCAATGGTAAGTAAATCCTTAATCATTATACATTAGTTTTTAGTCAATTGTAAGGTGTTTGAATCGGAATACCTAAACAAACATAAACAAAGGAATGTAGGAGTAGGAGATATTGCATTACTAAACCACACATCTAAAAAAGTACACATATGTCTTAGCAGCGCCCTCCGTTCTATCAACACAAAAGTTGAAATATTTCATGAACCTGCGTACATCTCAAAAACTTTTAAGTTAAGAAACACGTTAATGTACACAGGGATAAGAAATAAACCAATGACAATGAAAACTAGCTAAATTAGCAATCCGTTTTTGGAGGGAAGCATGGAATATAGGACCAACTTGTATATATTTTTGTTTAGGAAAGTCCACACTTCATTTCGCCCTAAACGATCAGTCACATGCCCAAGCTTAGCAAACTATATGCATTATCACATCGATCGGCTATGAATCTGATTACAAATATTAAGGAATCTACCTTGATGGAAAACTGCTAAATCTCTCTTTTGATATCCAAAGATTTCATGGCATCTCCGCTTCTTCAATCTTCCTTTTCTGAATATGCTTATCTATAATTTGTTGAAACTGAAATGGAAATAAGCATATATGATTTGAGTCATTATTTAAGCAGCAGCAGCAGCAATGTGATTAGGGAATCTGAAAACCTGATAACAAGTACAAAGGCATATACCCTGTTGACTAAGGCCTCCTCTCTTTTCTCTTGCCAGTTTGGATTGAGTAATTGTGATAACAGTAAAAGGCAATATAAAAACTGAAAGACATGAAGCATGCATGCATATATATATATATATATATATATATATATATATATAGCTAGTATGTATGTTGGCAGAATCTTTAGTTCCTTTCTTTAAAGCACAACGCAAAAGATTCCTAAAATGATGCATGGTTGACTTTCAAATAGTATAGCCGGGCGGCTATACCTTCGTAATATATTCGAATATTTTAAACGTATAGCCGACCAGCTATATCTTTTAAATAAGGCTATACAATTAAAATATTCTAATATATTAAAAGGGTATAGCCGCCCGGCTATACTATTAAAATATTCAAGGTATAGCCGTGCGGCTATACTATTAAAATTTTAGAACAGATGCCTAGCCGATCGGCTATACAAATAAAATATTCTAATATATTAATACAGTTTAGCCGCACGGCGATACTATTTAATTATTATATATATATACACACATTTTGTTGGAGCAGATGGCATAGCTTCTGTAGAAGATTTGTTATCATTAACACATAAATCATCAAAAACATATGGAATCAAGCTTTGCACTTGTGTTTTCAGGTTACTGTTCAAACAGAAAATGAAGGGTAAATTGATAAACTTGGGCGCAAAGAGGAAAGGCGACAAAGACCACCCTTGCCATATAGATTAGACCTAAAAACTTGGGGCCATCATCCCAGAAATTTGTTGCATGAAAGAGGGTTTCAATTAGCATTTAAAAGAATCTGATACACATTACACCTTTTTATTGGGTCTTAAACAAGAATTTTGCATGCACAACTCCTGCATTTTGCAGGATTGTTTGCAAGCAATTATCAGCCCAAAGGATAAAAACAAACAATGGTTTGTGTTCCTCAAGAAGTACTCCACTGCGATTCGAGGAACTAACAAGGTGGAAGGTCTGTAGGTGGAGGCAAGACAGAGTGATCTGAGTCTTTCCCATTTTCCACCACGAATGCAGTCTTCAATCCCCAGCTGGTATGGAGCTCCAAATGACAGTGCATGAACCAGACACCTAAAGATGATCAAAATACCGTTCAAAATATTAGTGAAATATCTAAAAAAATAAGAGATATTATTCTTGCTTAATTAGTAACTTTGAAGTATAATGTAGCATGCTATTTGGTAAGTTTGATGTGTTTACCTGGATTATCAGCCCTGAACCTTAAGGCAACCCAACCACCGGTAGGAACTCCGATTGTGTTTCTTTCGGGAGGATCCACCAAGTTATACTTTTCCGGGTCCTTTTTGGGGTCGAAGTTCCCAACTCCGGTCCCGACAACAAAGAAATTGTAACCATGAAGGTGGAAGGGATGAGACTCCACTGTGAGAAGATTGGTGTCTTGTAGCACCAACTCAACTGTTGAATTGAAGGCAAGTTTGCTAAGCCGGGTGCCTAGTTTAGTGCCAAGGTTGGCAGTGAGTGGTGCACCAGTGTAATTGAAAGGCGGTCTGGGAAATCTGTGGTAAATACTCCCTTGGTGTTGAAATAATGAGCTTGAAGCAGCCCAATTTGGGGCATCACAAATGTGATATTGTTTAAAGAAGCAGTGAGCTGTGTTCCATTGAGGCAAGTGGTGCATTGGTTGATTCCCAACCCGATCGTGTAAAAGAGATGTCGATCAACTTTAAGAGGTACACTGGCCGGGAACTGTGCTGTGTTTAGACTTCTTAGCTTGGCATTGAAGCTCAATGCGAAAGCTGTGTTATTGAGTGCCGGAAGTTGGGGAAGAACTGGCTGCACAGTATTTGGGATGCCTTTGTACTGCAGTATTCCAGTGGCAGTTTTGTTGTCAATGGAAACCGGTGCGTCCATGAATGGCCTAGCCGCCATGAAATATCTTCCGGGCGCTTGGTTGGCTTGAACAAGAACATTCGTGGTCTGGCCTGGTGCTATTAGTATTGCTTGAGATGTGAATGGTTTGGTGTAGACTGCATCAATTTCTACTACTGTCAAGTTGTGACCAGCAATGGCAAAGAATAGCTCATCATTGAGTGCAGCATTGATGATTCGTAGCAGGTACGTCTTTCCCTGTTCAACCTCCAATGCATAGGTATCTGAGATAGCAAAAACAAGAAAGGATGAGAATGCAAAGTCTCATTTTTCATGTCCAAATGGCAGTGCCATAAAACAAAAGTGGTCTCAGAACATCTAGTGTCATAGATGGGAAAAGTTCTGGCACACAATGAGTATATACAACGTAGCTCTCATAATAACTAGTTGCACATCCACCATGTGCATTGTATAAGCTCATTGTAGGCAAGAACTTTTCTACAGGAGGCGGTGGCTTACGTTTTTCAGAACAGGGAAAGAGAGGCCCTGGCTTCCCATTGATGGTGTGTGCATCTGACATATTTGGTGGCAATCCCAGTTTGTTTCCTTGTTTAACAACCTCTTCGACGTCGTTATTCCACCATTCTCCTACACCATTCACAAGAAACAATACAATCATTTTCTGCATAAACTCAAAAACAAAATCTGTATATAGTTACAAATCTTATAGTTGCACCAACTCACCTAAGACAATATTAGCCTCCTTGTATGGCTGAAGAAATGGAAAACCAGTCCCTTGTTTTGGCAAGATGACAATTGCTCCATAGACAGTGGCTCTTAGCCAGAAAATATGTGCATGCCACCATAGAGTTCCCCTTTGCCCTGTTATAGTGATATTGTAGGTGTAACTATGTCCTGTCTTGATAGGACATTGGGTGATATAGGCAGGCCCATCTGCCCACCCATTTCTATATTGCTTTAATCCATGCCTGCAGAATTCAATCAAAATGTGACATTAATGAACCCAAATTTTCATTTTAGTTTTATGCTTGCATAATCATATGAATTCAAATATAAATTTCTAACCAGTGAATTGACATATTGTATTGTGCATGGTTGGTAACATTGACAAGAAGTGTATCTCCTTCTCTAGCATAAACTGTAGGTCCAGGGAACATCCCATTTACTGTAACAATTGGCTTAGAATGGCACAACCTGCTCACATTCTTCACTTGAACCTGAAAATAATTTTTGGAACAGATAAATAATAACCAGATATAAAATGCATGCAATTTAGTTCTGCCATTCTGAATTGCTCACATCGAATCGGTATGTCTTCAAAGCGGCTTTTGCCGGGGTGGAAAAGAACCCAAATAAGCATAAGAAGAGAAGTGCAGAAGAACCCCAGCAGAAACTGTTGGTTTTTGCCATTTTTCGTGACCGAATCGTTTCTATATGGCTGTGCCCAAAATCTATATTTGTCAGATGGTATCTTTGTAGGGATGAGACATGGTAGCAAGTCAGGTTCTAATGGTTTTATATGGCTGTGCCCAAAATCTAAAACAAACCATCAGTTTGTTTATGTTAGATGGAGTTGGTGTTGTAAACATTAGGTAGAGGCTGTAGAGGTTGTACATGAAAGCTTTGAAGCAAAATACAGATGGGGACTTTTAGTGTAAAGCCAACTTGAAGAGGCAAACAGAGTAGCTGAAGAACTTATTCTTGTATTTTTTTATTGTTTAGGAAAATACAAGTATAAGCAAGAGAGCTACTTGAAGCCTAGATATGGATCTCTCGACTCTACCTGCAAGGGAAATGGCTGGCATCAAGTGTATGTTTTCTGTTCACATATACACTTGGGTTCTTTTTTTCTTTTTTGGCTTACTATTGTTGAATCTCTTTCTATGAACCCAATACTTTCATGTCCACCAACTTATGTCTCCAAGAGTTAGAATTGTTGATATAATGGAATGTTCACATTGGAAAACTTTTTAACCAACTTCATTTTTGTATCTGATACACCACGATGAAATCTTAACAAATGTACTCTAGATGGTGTTGCAAGTGGATGAGTATGTTCCTCAGTGAAAGTCTTAACTACAAAATTGAACCCATCATAAACTATTGTTAACTTTGCTTTGCAATTTTCCATCTTAAAATTGAACCCATTCATTCATCTAATGCATTTGCCATCACTCCTGCACTTTTCGTATAATAAGAAAATTAGTACAAACATATGTAATAAACAAAGGAAAAACTTGAATGGAAGAAATAAATAAAAATTAGAATTTTCCATGTTAATCAGTAACAAATAGCATAGTTGCAAGAACCCGAGATTGAGCAGAACACGGGAGCACCTATAGGAGGAAGAAGAACACATTCAAAGATTTTGGGTATTTATTTATTTATTTATTTTAAAATTTAATTAAAAAAGTAAATAATAATAATTTTTTAAAATAATTTTTTCTCAACCCTTGGATGATTAAAGTAAACAAATTGGAATCATTCTAATAACAACATGATATTATGGTTCAAAGGCCATTGTGGTTATAAAAAAATTTAAAAATTTTAAAAAACGCACATCATTGGGCCATTCCATATCAAAACGCACCGTTTACATGGTCACAACCGACTGGTGGCAAGTGACGAAACAATCTGAACTAAGCCCCGGACATCAATTTCCATTTCCATTTGATTGGCATTAAGCCTGTGCTCGTTTCAATCCCAACGATCCCAAATCGAAACCCGAGTCGCATAGAAGACCCATCCGACTCAGCCATCATCAGCAATGGCTGCGATCTTAGCTCGCAAGTCCCTTCAGGCTCTCCGCGCCAGGCAGCTCGTAAGTGTATCCTTTGCCCTAACTGCTCTTTTCTCGTTCTCCGTTTGGTTTCTGAGAAAATGGGCAAAGCAAACCAAAACAAAAAAAAAGCTTCAATCTTAATGTTCACTTTTGGATACCTATGAAAGTCAAATTTTCCAACTATTTTACTCCTTCCAAATTTCTTGGATCAGGAGCATTGTACTGAGAGTTGATTTCTTTGAGCTGAACTGAGCAATTTGTTTTATTTGTTCTTAAGTTTTTCGATTGAAAATCTGATTTTCATACATTAGCTCCACTACTGATATATAATTGTATTGATTTTTTTTTTCAATCCTATGGAGCTGCCACTGTTTTAAGTTTTAATACTGAATAGATATAGAAAGGGTTGGAAGCTAATTTCTTTACGATTTTGTTTATTGGGTATTATTGTGGTTATAGACCAATTCTTGCTTTCTGAATCTGCTATATCTTGCGACCTTTAGCGTGGTTTTTGGTAACCTAAATTTTGCACAAGGGAGGTGGATTACCTTTTTTTTTTTGGTTCTATTTTTTCATTTTTTTTAATACATGTCCAAGTGAAATTTATAGGCTACCTGGGTATTTCAAGGTTTGTGGATGACCCATGAACAAAGCATGTGGTGCACCAGAACTATTATTTAATATTGGATATTATGACGGGTATTGGAACGGATACACAAAACCGAAGAATTTATTATGCCTTGCAATGTCATTTGCTCTGAGAATTAGGGCAATTATGGTGCTAATCAAATTAGCTTAAAGGAATTCTGCGTTGCTCATGTTTAGGGTGTGTTTGTTTCATGGAATGGGGTTTTAAGAATCTATTCGTTGGAATTAGATTTTTAGGAATCAGTGGAATTTAATGATTTTCATTTCAGTGTTTGGAAATGTTGGAATGAAAGTGATTAAGACACCAATGAAATTTTACTGTTTAGAACCAATTGCATAAGATAATCGTTTTCATTTTGATTTTTTGAATGTGAAAAGCAGAGAATGGGGTTAAAAAGCCCACACCGTCCCTTGGGTTAACAAAACTTTCGTTTTGTGGGTTTTGGATATCTATGGGAAAACCAACACAAAATGATTTGTACTTACCAAACATAGAATAACCTCATTCCTCAGCATCTATTCTGCAAATAAAACACATTCATAGTGTTTGGGAGTCCTTTGGCATGATTAAGTATGCTACAATTTGAGGTGTAGTTGACTGGTAACTTGAATTAAATTTGATTGAAAATACTAGTTTTCTATTTGAATTTGAGTCTTCAATATAGAAGTTTTCTGCTCCTTCCAATAAATGAACTGATTATTGTGCGTTGTCACCAAATTTTGATAGATCAAGGATTGGACTTAACTACTCGATAAATAGTGTAGGAGATCACATTCATCAACAGTTCGTTTCAAAATAATCACTGTAACTTATGATTTGGATTAATGTAGGGTCAGTTTGAAGACAATGTTTCTGTTTTCCGGTGTTTTTTTTCAATCAAAGGGAAAGAGGGGAGCTGGGGATGATAAAAGAATGAGAGATGAGAGTGGTTTGGAAATAAAGGAGATAGAATATATAACATTAAAACTAAATTCCCCAAAACCTTAAAAAACCATATAAAACTGTTTTTGAGTTTTTATTGTAAATTCAATTCTGAGTTTTATTTCTCTTATCTCTTTAAGTTATTTAATCTCTATTATCCTTTTCTTCTATCTTCCCTCTCTTTCTTTAATTAAAAAAGAAGAAGAAGAAGACCACACAAAAAACCGTTGTCAATAGGTTCTCAAATTTTTTGAATAGTTTAATTTTGGTCCTTGTAGTTTGACCTGTTTTTCACTTTGATTTGTCATTTCAATTGGCAATTCACTCCTGTAGTTTTATTTACTTAGCAATTAATTCCTACAAAAATAGACAGAATGCTTATATGGTCCTGATTACAAACTTTATGGAGAGACAAGAATTCCCTTACATGTGGTGGTTGCATGTTGCCACGTTGACAGAGTTACAATTTAGACTTGATTGCAAACTAAATAAAACTACATTTGAATGCCCTCACATGTGGTGGTTGCATGTTTCATATGTTTTGTTAATTTCAGTATAATTATATGGAGAGCTTTCTTAAAACTTTGGGTTTATGTATACCTGTTTCATATTCTATTTTAGCTATTGGACGTTTTACTGGTCTATTTTTTCGGTTTGTGTTTAGGCCGTACCAGGGCAAGCCTTGCAGGGTTCTTACTACTATGGACCGCGTTCCAGTTCACACTACTTCTCCACTATAAAAGGTTTGCTTTTCTGCAGGGTCATGGGTGTTGTAATAATGATAGTTTAAGATAAAATTATATTGATATCTTCAATGTCATGTTATTTGGCCTGTATGGTGCTTCATCATGGTGTGATATTATCTTTTAGAAATTTTTTTTTTACTTCTTTGTTTATGCCAACTGCAGAGGATGAGGAAAGAGAGGAACTCGCAAAGGAGATTTCGAAGGACTGGAGTTCTGGTAATCCCCCTTCCCCTCAAGAAAAAAGGGAAAAAAAGAAAGAAAAAGGAAACCATTATTTTTGTTCTTAATTTCGTGTTATTACAATATTTTAGGCTATGTGAAATAATAGCCTTATTTTTTAATTACTGCAGTCTTTGAGCGAAGCATAAACACATTGTTCCTCACTGAAATGGTTCGAGGTCTGATGCTGACGCTTAAGTACTTTTTTGAGAAAAAAGTTACTGTAAGTATCTTCCAATACACATTGCCAAGTTCACTTTTCATTTTTCCGTGGTCAACTATGAAATCTATCTTTTGTTTTGCAGATCAATTATCCATTTGAGAAGGGCCCTCTGAGTCCTCGTTTTCGTGGTGAACATGCCCTACGGCGATATCCTACGGGAGAAGAGCGTTGCATTGCTTGCAAACTTTGTGAAGCTGTAAGAGTTGAAAACTCTTTTGTGGCTATTTTAGGTTTCAAATATGAATTAAGGACAACACATAAATTTAGGTTATGATTCCTGCCTGCCAAAACTGGTTAGAAAATTTCATAATTCTTCATCTAGTATATCTGGGTTAGTACTTGTTTCTGCTTTGATGTTTATTTTTGTTGTTCATATGCATTCCTTGAGCTGCCAATGGGCAGAGCCTACTTTGTCTCTTGGACAATACCTAGAGCTAGAGGCCAGACAACGCTGCCTCCTGTCACATTCAGCAAACTATGTTGGATTTTTGGCCTTGTTTGGCAGCTGTACCTCGTTGATGTCTAATTACTTTCCAGATTAGAATATATTCTTGATGTGCACACGTAGTGTATCATAGTATTCTGCTGTTACACTGATATTTGTATACATGGTGTGTCTTCTGCTCTTATGCTTTATTCCTTTGCCTAGGATGTAATTCAGTCTCATGTAGAATTTGAAGTATCATTTCACTGCGTAAATCCGCAACAGGCTAGCTTCATGTGTTACTATGTTATAAGGCATGAGCAGCTGAATATAACATTTTAACTCACAAAGCAGTTGTTTTTCTCAGATATGTCCGGCGCAGGCAATCACAATTGAGGCTGAGGCACGAGAAGATGGTAGCCGTAGGACTACTAGGTGAAGGATGACTCTCCCTTCTTCCCCTCCCCTCTCTTTTCCCTCTCAATCTCTGCCTCACACTCGTCTAGTTTTTCAGGTATGACATTGACATGACAAAGTGCATCTACTGTGGATTCTGTCAAGAGGCATGCCCTGTTGATGCCATTGTAGAAGGACCGAACTTTGAATTTTCAACAGAGACTCATGAGGTTACTGAGCATCCTTTCTATTGACTCATAGCAACTAATCCTATGTCTTCATCTTTATTCTAATCGCATTTTCTGACAACTGATCCAAGGCACTCTTTTCTGCTGCTGTTGCAGGAGCTTCTTTACGACAAAGAAAAGCTGCTCGAGAATGGAGACAGATGGGAGACTGAGATTGCTGAGAACCTCAGATCTGAAAGCCTCTACCGCTGATTTTCCACCCCATGGTTCTTTCCCAGTTACCATACTCGCACTTTCTTGACTTTTTGATGATGTGGAAAAATAATAGATCCGTGCATGGATCTTAAAGAGGTTGTATTGTTGGTATTTTATTACCCTAATCTTTGTAATTGAGTCATTGTAAGTAATGATTCCAAATGCAAGGGATCAAGTTTTTTTCTGTAAGATCTTTAAACATGTTGAGCATGGTTGGACGTGAATTTTTACCAATTTATGGACCATCCTCTAGTTTCGCTTGAACAATGTGAGTTAGTAGAGAATTTGGGTGTTGGAGAAGTTGAAGTCTACTGACCATGATCCTTTTTACCAAAGAGTTCCTCCAAATTTTTATATTTGATCTCAATTGTACCGATCAATGGAAGCAAAAAGAGGGCCCACCATGGTCACTAGCATCGGGGGGCCGCCGGTGAGAGGTAGAGAGGAAGAGGAGAACGTAGCATATCCCACTCTGGTACTTCGGGCGTTTTATTTTTACTCTTTATTTTTGGTAACAGAAAAAATAAACACGTAAAGGAAAAAAATGGGAAACTCATGAAACGAGCACCGTATAAGTTGACGGTTTTACGGACTAAATTGACAGAATAGGTAAACGTGAGACGTGGAATAATACAATGAAATGAGATTGAGTCAATTCCTTTTTTTTAAAGGGAAGATACCAAATTTATCGAGTTTATTTGAATAATGGAGAAAATAAAAAAATGAAAAAGCAAGAAAAGTAGAATTAGCACGGTAGAAGGAGGAGTTCTAGACCGCAGACGATCCTAACCGTTGATTTTTAACCTCGTTCGTATAGGAAAGATCCCATACATACCCATATATTTTACAATTCATAAACACCACTCAAAACCAAATAGTTATATTGAAATCTCAATTCAAATTCAGGTATATATCTAAATTTAAATTTATATATACTACCTTACTTGTTTTATTATAATGTTGTTAATGATTTGTTATATATTTGATAATTCATGTATATGTTTGGTTAGGCATGATGATTGTTTCATATAATTCATATATAATTAGATTTTCTCCTATACGAATGTCATGTATTTTCTACTACCCTTCATGCTTTACTCTCTATAATATAATGGTGTTCGTACTATAATAACGTCAGGACGTCCGAATGAGAGAACTGATATTATAATTATACTATATACAATATGTTTGTTTTATAACATTAGGTCATGGTATATTATTGTTCTGATAAGTTTTTTTTAATAAAAAAAAAACTAACAAGAGGGTCAAAATAGAAAGGTTCACGAGTATGTTTAGGAGGTGTGGTATGGTGAGTGATTTGTTGGGTGTGCATGCCCATTTTAAAATCAAACCCAACATCACCGAAGCCCAGCCTCTGTTTCAGACTAGCAGACCTATGTGTCAACAGCCCCTCCCTCTCCCTTCTTCTTCTTCGGCTCTTCTTCGATAAAACTGAATCAGTTTTCTTCTTGTTCTTCGACCCTTCTGCTTCGACAGTCAATCCTTGGGGTCTTGTAGTTATCAGCATTCGCTAGGTAAGTGAATTTGTAGTTTTATTTCAGTTGGTTCATTAGTTTTCTTTCGTTGTTAATCTCATAAACCCATTAGGTTAGAACTCGTTTTTGTTTTTGGTTTTTGGTTTTCTTTTTTCTGCATATTCGTTAGGTTCGGAGCCTGATTCAAGTTGTTAGGGTTAATTCAGCAATTCCTTTTCATTTTGTAGATTCTTTTTTCATGTTAATTAGCTTTTTCCTTTCCTAGTTCTTTCATTGTACAAGTTTTATGTCCAAAAATCAAACTTGCAAAAAATAAAATAACAAATTTGCCAGTGTCACTAACCGCACTTGCAGCATTATATTCGGGATTGAAAATTTTCTTTAGAGTTCATGTAAATGAATTAGAGAATTATGACTTGACATGAAATTAGTCTCTGTATAAATGTAAAATCACATACTATAATTTACTAGGAGACTACTACCAATATTTCAACAACTGAGCTTAAGGCTGCTGGTTTCTTAATTTTCTTCAAACCCCAAAATCAAATGGCAAATATCAGTATATTACTCCAAATTATAATCATGGTTCCGCTCATGTCAGATAGAGCGAGGAGGGAGCAATGGCAGAGGACGCAATTCTAGGATACCTGGAGAAAAACGATCATATTTCAGACTCAGGCGAGTTCGCAGCTGAACGCAGAATCGATCACAACGAGATTGTCAATGTTATCAAGAGTCTCCATGGTTTCAAATATGTTGATGCACAGGTGCTCAAACTTACTTGCCCCTGATTTTTCTTTCTTCGTCATTATTTGGAGAGGGGCAACAATTGGGATTTGTTTCAAGTGTTTATGCTCAACTCTGTTCTTTTTGGTTACTAGAAAGTTTTCTTAATTCAAACTAATGAAGAGTTTATCATTGAATCTTCTTGGGTTGCATGTACTTGTTAATTCGAGCTACAAATTAACAAACTTTTTTATGGATAGTTCACATTTGTCTGTGAAAGGAATTTCCTTTTGGTTGTTAGTTCTGGTTTCTTGTTGGGTTAAGTTCATTTTTTGTTTTACTTAATTGAAATTACACTAAATGTAAAATAGTGGGCTTCATGAGGGTTCTTGCTGTTGAATACCCTTTGATACTCGTTGATCTGCAGGACATTAAAAGGGAGATGTGGGTGCTTACTGATGAAGGAAATGCATATACTGCTACTGGATCACCTGAAGTGCAACTGTTCCTGGCCATACCACCAGAGGGTATTCCAAAAGAAGAATTGCAGGTGATTATTATGGCTCTCGTCTTTAATTTAGAACATCTGATACGATGCCTGATTCATTGGTTCTATTCAATTATGTTCTGTGCTTGTAGTTTCTCTCTGATCACGAGTTATTAATCTTTGATGCTACATGTGTTTTGAAACTGATGTTTTATTCAGAAAAAGCTGGATCCATCAGTTTTCAAAATAGGTTGCGCCCAGGCTGCAAAGAATAAATGGGTGGAGATGGGAAAACAACTTGTCACCAGAAAGGTAACACCTCACTAACGAAATCTATATACGTAATAATGTCTGTTAGGAATGTTTTAGATATGTTACGTAGGGGCTATGATCTTCCTGGAATTGATCCTAATCCAGTATTTTGTTCCAGTTTATCCAAATAAACAGGCCCTTTTGTCAATTTATTTTGGCGTCATGGTTAATGGAGCCATGGATACTTGTGTCAGGAGTCCTTCATGTTCTCCAATGAGAATCCAGCCAAAGACTTGTTATTAGGAAATTATTTCTTTTATCTCTGATACACTAAAATATAATTTTTGTAGAATCTGTGATTGTATTTTAGTGTGTTTTCTTTCTCCCCTACATTGATAATTATTATATGTTTCTCGTCGTTTGACTGTTTTCATAATATTATTGTTTGTTTTATTATGCAGTTTTTTTTTGGTCAAGGTATGCGGTTCATTGGTGCTTTAAACATTCATTTGATACATTTTATATTTTTGCATACATTGTTTATAAATCAGCTTCGTTCTGTTTGTGTCTCTTTTTGTTTGAAGTGATTCTGGATGTATGTGGAATCCACAAATGTCTGATGATGCTAGTATAGCCATGTTTTGCCTCCGTTGTGCATGTATGATGTCTATGACTTGAATACTTCATTATAATTTTCTCTTTGTATGTTCTGCAGATCCAACATGTGGATGACAAAGTCAAAGATTTGCTTCTACGGATACAAGAAGGGCAGGTGCATAATATTTTTCTACATCGATAATCTCACATTGGATTTCAATGATATGCAATCATGCACATGCACTTATGTACACTGTGCAAGTATATGCTAGCTCTAAGCTTCAGTGATGTGTATACCATAGTAACATTATTGGGGGTGGGGGGATGGGTGTGTTTGTATCTTTTGTGGTGGGCTGGGAGCCTGATCAAAACCCAAGGCTGTCTTGTGAATCATTCACATGGTTGTCGGGCCCGTTTATACTTTGATGAGCTGGGTGCATTGTATTTATAACTTTATCGTACATGAAATGAAATGAGATGGGGGTTTTTAAAATTTTTTAATTCAGTACCATGTTCCCTATCGGGTGCACATTTTCCATCGTTCAGTAGATCATCTCTCTCTCGTTGTTTTTCCCCTCTATTATAACTTTATTGGCAACTCATTTGGATTTTCTTTTCCTTATTTGTGATTGCAGGCCATCAACCAAGATGACATTAAGGCTCTCAAAGCAAGAAAGCTTATTGTTCCACAGTAAGAATCAGATGCTTTTTATGTTCTTTGCTTATACAGTTCCCTTGTTTTTCTTTTGGTGCCAGGGGGTATCAATGAAATTTCTTTGGATATGGCCATATATTTTGTACCATAGAAGTTTGATTCTGGTTATTTCACCTGCAAAGGTTTCATACTCTGTTCATAGTGTTATCGTCTTTTTCTGTTTTCTTGCACTTTAGAACGTGGAAGGGCTACTCAGTGAAAAAGGGCCCCAATTATGCTCCCAAAAGAAAGAAAGTTGCTACGGATTTGACTCGAGAGAATCTGCAGAGGTAAGGACGTGATTATTATGAATGTAGATCATGATCAGTAGAATTTATGACAACAATTACTGGATGGGTTTAGTGCTAAAGTTCTCTGAAGCATAGAACTCGGAATCACCAAAACTGGATGGGCGATAAGAGGATAGGGATACGATATGATGCAATACTCTTACAGTAATATGGAAATTCTTGAATACTGGGATGTGATACATTGGTATATCTGATTTAAAAAATATATGTTATGTGCATTATTATATCAATTATAGGCATCAATTAAATTGTAATATAAAAACAATAGTAATTAGGAAGGGTGCATTTATATCTTGCAATGTGTGCGTACAGACAGAACTATGGTTTGATTTCTATCCATTTTGTTTAATTGTGTCCTTAAAAATTGAAAATAGAACAGATACTCTTCTTCTTTTAAGTTAACCCAAGAAAAAATTGTAAACTTACAGTTTAAACCTCATGTATCTTGCCCCAATTGTTATATCATTCCAATATGTAAGGTATTGGTATACATATCCCCACAATTAGCATCTATTAACTTTTGTACACTCCCTTTTAAGCATTTCTGGCTACTATACTGACTATACATGAATACTGTTTTCTTTTTGTTTATTTTTTCTTTGTTTTTGCATTATGTGAATGCACACCCATGAATGAGTGCTGTCACATGCAGTTATCTTGCTGATAGCTTTATATGATTGTTTCTGTAATAAAGGGGTGATTGGAAGGAAATAGAGTTCAAAGAGTATAACTTCACCGCCAAAGGTCTGCCTACTGAAGGTGGTCATCTACATCCACTGCTCAAGGCAAGGACATAATTTCCATTGTATCTTTTTAATAGAAGTGGCTTTGCTTTGAGTACCATAAGACCAGAATACTGTATAAGTCCTCAGAGGCAAATAGAGTTGAAAGAGAAATACAAGGTGATTCTTTTGTTTTAGCAGACTGTCAGATAATCCCACCAAAGTCTGCAGGTGCTCAATTTGAGCTGGTGTCAGTATGGTAGACTTTTTGTTTGCAAGTTTTGTATAAAATTACCTGTTTGCATATAGCATTGCTAATTGAATCTACCAATTTTCAGGTACGACAGCAATTGAAGGATATTTTCAGACAGATGGGGTAAGACCTGTTTCTTGTCTAATATTTACTGATTTATGGGTTCTATCTACGTATACATCTCCCTCTATACGACCTAGTTCCATGTTGGCATGATTTCTGAAAAAATCCTGGATCCTTACTCTATATATATCTGGCATTTATGTATTGTTTTTCTGTACTAACTGCAGGTTTGAGGAGATGCCTACAAACAATTATGTTGAGAGCAGGTAGCCTATCTCGTCTCACTTTTAGCCAACTTGTCTTATTTATAATAATGTAAATCATAGCTTATAATACGTCGAGGATTTGTAGCCATACCATATTGCTAAAACATCTACTGGAAATTGTGGAATATAGATGCAAATTTATAAATGGGGATAAATTCGAATTCTTTTCCAACGAAAAATATAATTTGATTCACAAGCTAGGGATCTGTTTCCAAAAAACAAGATGCCAAGATTCTTTAGTCAACAAATTCAATATAATTTCTGGCCCAAAAAGAAACCTAAAAACAACATGATTAGTCACAGGTTATTTTGCGTTGCTCACAGATATTTCTGTTATAACTGGACAGCTCACGGAGTGAATATAAATTATTTTATTGTTATTTCGGGGTTCTCTCAAACAATTGGTTTCAAAAACCTCCCATAAAGTAAATATTCAACTGAATATGTTATACTAGACACCTGTGAATTTTGCCTCTCTTCTTTATATCTGTAAAAAATATTTCTTTTTAAAATTCTCTCATGTTTATAGTAAAAAAGAAAAAAGAAATCTCTCATGTTGCATTTTCTTCCATGCGATTTCAGTGCGTACAGCTCATTATGTATGTGGTAGCTAATGGTGAGATACTAAAAAAATGTTTATTTTTGCTTTACTTGCAGCTTTTGGAACTTTGATGTGCTTTTCCAGCCGCAACAACACCCTGCCCGTGATTCTCATGATACGTTTTTTCTACAAGGTCTTTTTAACGCTGTTGCTTTTATCATGAGCACTTCTGTATCTAGCTCCCAACTATATTGTTGTCTTTGTTTTTTTTTTTTTTTTTTTTTTTTTTTTTTTTTTTTTTTTTTTTCTTCAACTTCAACCAAGGAACTGCCTGAAGATTATGTTCAGCGGGTGAAGCAGATTCATGAGTCTGGTGGTTATCAATCCCGAGGGTATGACATTTGAACTTCCTTTAATGTTTTAACCCCGCAAGATTTGAGATAATGACTGTTATCTTTTCTCTTTTTCGCAGATATGGATATGATTGGAAAAGAGAGGAAGCAGACAAAAATCTTTTGCGAACTCACACAACTGCCGTTTCCTCCAGGATGCTGTACTTACTAGCACAGGTGTGTTTATTTTATGAATCTCTTCATGGCTTTCAATTGATCACTCACTATTGCAGTTTTATTTACTAAACCAAAGAGGAACTCTTCTATGTTAGCTTCAAATTCTAACCTTTTTTTTTCAATTGATGCTACATTGGTGCAAAATTTACTCTCCTGACCATGCCCTTTTTGTGATGGAATTTTGCTTGCACAATGAGTTTGTTAATGTAAACCAAAAAGTATTCAATCTTGACTTAGTATCACATTTTTGCATGCTACGTAGTGTTATTTCTAAACATTTGAAAGTTGGAATTTTGTCTAGTAAGCTTGCATACAACTTGTAAAGTGTAGTTAGAAATTTCTTCATATTTTCCCCAACAGGTGTTTCTTAGTATTTGTAGTATTATTTGACATAGTTTCTAGCTACCTATGGTAGTTGTAGGTTCTTTAATGTCTTCACAAATTCGTTTTGCATGCACCTGCATAAGTAGACACACACAATCCCACTAACGCGGTCCCAAAGTCATAATTGTTTTTCTTTCTTGGCATTTACAGAAACCATTTGCCCCGAAAAAGTACTACTCTATAGATCGTGTATTCAGAAATGAAGCGGTAGATCGAACTCATCTTGCAGAGTTCCACCAGATAGAAGGTATTATTCGGTTTGTTTATATATACCCGAGCTAGATATCTGCATACATTCACTAGGTCCATAACTCTGTTCATCTTGGGCTCTGCTATAAAACTATGAACTGAATTACTCTTAGAGATTTAAATTAAAATGAACAATCTGTGTCCTGGTTTTAGGTTTGGTATGTGATCGAGGGCTTACTCTTGGTGACTTGTTAGGAGTACTCCATGAATTCTTCGCACGTCTGGGTAAGACACTAGCTGGCATTGCTACTGACTTGGTTCTTGTGCTTTGATGTTGGAGATTGGGTATTACTATAATAGGAAACTTATTTATTTTTTGTTTTTTCTATTTTTAGGCATGTCGAAGTTGCGATTCAAGCCCGCTTATAATCCATATACTGAGCCTAGCATGGAGATTTTCAGGTGATAATTAATGCTCAATAAGGTGGAAAAGGTTGTTTCATGTTTGGTAGTTGAAAATTTGATAAATTTTTCCTTTTTTTCTCAATCAGTTATCATGAAGGTTTTGGGAAATGGGTAGAGGTTGGAAATTCTGGCATGTTTAGACCTGAAATGTTGCTTCCTATGGGACTCCCTGAAGATGTTCGTGTTATTGCATGGGGCCTCTCCCTCGAAAGGTAAGAACAAATTAATTATCATTACTGTTCATCACTACCATTTTTTAGGGATTCTTGCTAGAAAAATACTCCACATGATATTGACGTTTATTCTCTGTGGACTTTAATTGGAACCAGACCTACCATGATACTCTACGGGATTGACAACATCCGAGATCTTTTCGGACACAAGGTAACACTTTACATCCTATCTTCAAGCTTAGTCGTTAGTTTTCCATTCATCTGAATTGGATTTCACCTGGTTCTCTTATTTTGTAGGTCGATCTTGGTCTCATCAAGAGAAACCCAATATGCCGCCTTGGATTATAGCATATTTGGAAAATTCTGCTACCGTTGTTTTACTGCATTTTGCTCATTTCGAATACAAAATGTACGCATTTCTTCATTAGAAAGTATGGCAGGGAAACTTGTTTGATAAATCAAATTATAACAGCTAGATCAGGTTTACCTTTTGCGGTGATTTAATGACTCACTGGTGAGACGAAGATTGATATTACTGTTTTGAATCCTTTATTGAAATTTCGAACTCCATTGTAATGATTTGTATTTGTTCAACAAACATTAAACCACACAAAAAATACAAATACATTATAAGGGTTTCATGTGAAGAATGATCCATGACAAAAACAAATGACTAGCTAATAATTTTGTAAACAGCATGCACGTTTTGAAATAAAACCTGAATTTTAAAAAAATAAATAAATGTAATTGATGAAAGAAAAAGGTTTTCATCACAAAATGTTCTTGAGGTTCACGAAACTATTAGCTTTGATCATAGGTTGGTCTTTGCCGTTTGATTTTGGCAAAAATCATGTTAGTTTGCTGATGTGGCAAAAATTCTGTTAGTTTGCTGATGTGACATGTCATATGGATTAAATAAAGTAAATATTTGAAGTAATGCTTTAAATTTTGAAAAATCATAAATAAAAACAAGAAAAATATGAAAGTTAAATGGACCCAATCCAGGCCCGCCCGATAGGCCATAGTCCCCAAACTAACCCAAACCCTACCCCATTTGTTTTCAGCTCTCTCTCTCTCTACGTTTCCTTACTCATCGTCGCATCTAAACTCGCTCACGACGAAGCCTAGCTCGGCACTCCAACAACCAGGTTTCGCTTCTCACATAATAATATAAAGTCTTATTCTTTGATTAAGTTTTTGCAATTTTACTGTGTTTTGGTTTCTGGGCATTGTTTGTCTGTGACATTCTCTGTAACTTTGATTTTCCCCTTTCGAATCCATGATCTCTGAATGATGTTAAAAATGGTAATTAGATAAAATGTATCTCCATCTTTGACTGGTTTTCATTGGTTGTCTGTTGGGCTCTTTAAATTTTTGTTGGAGGTGAAACAATTGGATTCGATTCTTTTCATGCTGGGAAAGCATTAACTTTTTGTTTAGTTTGATCTGCGTTGTTTTATTTTTTTCATTTTCAATTTGAAAAATGGCACTTTCTCTAACTTTGAATTTCATTTTAGAAATTTAATTTAACCCATCCTATATCTCCATGTGCAATTTATGCATAAATAGATTTTAGTTGAGGGTTCTCACTGGTGAACTGAACTAATTTGGTTTTCAAAGCATGAGTTTGATGTGGTGATTTTCTTTTAGGTTTTTCTCATCATATAGAAAACAACACAATGAATCTTGCAGCATCAATATGCAGTAGATTGGGTGTCAAGCACCTGGTTTCGAATACTCCTGTGTACAGCAGAGCTTCTGGTACGAGTTTCATATCAGCGAATGGGTTGTGCTATTTTAACTGTAACATGAGTGTGTTGTGTTGCTGCTTTAAGTTCTGATGTTTTACTAAATGTGCTAATTTTAGATGTCACGGCAGAAGGATTGAGTTTGACATTTAGGCGCTGGGCTACTAAAAAATCTGCTGGATCCACAAAGAATGGCCGAGACTCAAATCCTAAGTTTCTTGGAGTGAAGAAATTTGGTGGAGAGGTGAGAGGCTGATGCGTACTTAAAGAAAAAAAAAGGTGGAGGATTCATCAATGCTTGTTGAATTCTTTCGTTGAGATGACTGAGGTTATTCTGTTTATGCTGCAGAGAGTGATACCTGGAAACATCATTGTTCGCCAGAGGGGCACCCGATTTCATCCTGGAAATTATGTTGGCTTAGGGAAGGATCACACCCTTTTTGCTCTGAAAGAAGGCTGTGTAAAATTCGAACACCACAAGCTCAGTGGACGCAAGTGGGTGCATGTCGTGCCCAAGGAAGGTCACATGCTTCACCCTGTCTATGCAGATGTTGCAACCACTTAGTTGTAGACAATGTCATACGTCCTTGTAAGTTTGTTTTAGATCTTTTTAAGTTCAAACCTTTTCCCAGGTTGGTGATTACAATAACAAAAGCTTTGTTATGCCAAAAGTCAACAGGTTTCTGTAAATCAGAAACTCCGGATCTTAGGCGAAGGAATGTTCATCTCACTTTTACCTGGATTATGGCTTTATAGCACTAAGGTCCTTCTGTTTCTAGTTTGGCCTTTTTACTGGTTTCAGTTTTGTTGTAATTGCCTTCAGAAGTTTTTACTGGTTTCCCCATTTAGAAGTTTTTCTCACCGTACTTCATGCTGCAATTGCCTGGCTCAAAACTTGGGTTCAACGAATCTTTACCATTGCTGAAGAAAAAAAATCTTGCATACAATTCATTTTTCACATTGAATCTCTTGCATGCCTAGCGTGGAACCAGTTTTTCTAGAGAGATTTATACAAGAATTTTTCCAGCAGCAAAGTAGCGACCGATTGTCATCTAATTTCGTAATTTCACAGCCTTTGCCAGCCTCAAGCTCGAATCCTTTACATGTGCATGCTTTAACCAGCTATTTAAATTGAAGTATACCAGATGTATTAATAATAAATAAATAAAAAAGGGGGCAAGAAAGGCCCCAGTATATACAATGTATACCTTTACAAGCGTAGAGAATCTATGAATTCTAACTAGCTACTCTACTACCTACATTTCTGGCTTTGGACAAGTTTAAGAGAATACTATAAATTAAAACAGATTTCTTGAGCTATACAACAGTAACTTCGCCAAGTACCGCATGAGAAGCAAACTTGCCAACACCCAACAGCAATGGCCGCCGAAAGCGAACGCCCTGCACTTCTCGGGCAACAGAATAGTGGAGGGAAAGGTGGTTCATTGTTTCTACTGCTTTCTTCTACATCATGCAGCGGATTCACTAACGCCATACGTCTATGAACTAAATGACCAACTGTAACATCATTTTTGACAACGGATGAGCAGAGTTCAATAACATATAAAGCACTTGTAAAAGAAAAATATATATCATAAAGAGAACATCAAGCATAGGCTTCATACCTAAGGGCATCATCTCTCTTCATGGTTCATACTCTTCACTGTCTGGAACATTCTTTGGAGACGGCAGCCATGGATTTCCTAAGCAACAAATCTCTTCCTCTTTTGACAGCTTGACTATAACTTAAGTTCAGTTTTTTAAGTCAAGTGATTGTGACTGGTAAGTCGGAGCATTGTTCATCTTAGTGTGTGGTACACCTACTGCGACAAGCAGAGTAATTATAATTCTGCCTCACTATCACTGTCATCAAGCATGGTTGATTCTGCCTCACTTTCACCCTCATCAAACATAGTTAATTCTACCTCACTCTCACTTTCATCAAGCATAGCTCCCTTCACAGGAAATTCATCGTCATCACCTGTTTGGGAATTAGAAACATCCTCACACGTGACACCAGATTCAAATCTTTTGCGCCTTTCCACTATAGCCTTGACCCTCTCCTCAAACTCTTCATCTGTGCTAGCCAGCATGTAGCGTAGTTTTAAATTAATGCAATTCTCTATCAGAACCTTGTGCCTTGGAATAATTCTGCCCTCAAGAGAGTAGCTGAAAAACCTGGACATGATTTCATCATGGTCAAATCCAATAGTAGAGAAGAAAGAAGATAAATTATTGCACAAATGAATAAGCACAAATTGACAAGGTAAGGTTGAATTTGAATTCCCAATGCTTGAATTTCTGTCGTGATGCTTTCACCTTGGAAACTCAATGAGATCTTGCAAAGGGCGGACCATAGTTCTCCTCAAGTAACGGTACTTTGGACGGAGAACATCTATATTGTACCGGAGCAGCATGGGAAAATCAGCAATCATCTCACCCAAAACTCTAAGATGAATGCCAAGGGATAGAAAATATTTCACATTAACCTCAAGCTTATTCACAATGCTGCATCCCAAGAGCTCTGGTCCCAAAGCTATTACCTTTCCAATATCCCTCTCACTAACTCCAGCTTTGGTCATCAAGAATATGACCTGTATGATATTCGAGTAACATGTTACCAAAGGGGAATGCTAAAGGTTACTCCTTTTGATTAAAAACTGAACCTGGATATTAAATTTTTATCATGCAGGACCTACATAAATGCAAAAGTCCTCAGTACAGCTATCTGTTTTAATGATACTAACTTCTAACTATTTCATGAGTACTATCTGCAACAATTTTTGGGCTTTTCTCAAGTACACCTCAATCAATGAAGCAATTAAACAATTACCAGTTACATACAAGCCAAACTAATACAAAATCAAATAAGTTATCAGATTTCATTTAGTCTGTTACTAAAAATAATTTACTATGCCTACATATTAAACTCAAAATGTTATTTTCATTCATTCAATCAAATGACCTGATATTCTAATCTATTTATTTTTAGGGCTTCGAAACTAAAATTAACCCATGCACCAAACAGAATTGAACCTAAAACTCCACCTCACTTTAGTCAGCTTACTACAACATGAAAAAGGACGTATTTCCATGTTTAACTTCTAGAAATTTATTGCTACATAGATTTTGTGGTACAGAAAGATATACATAATTGTGTGGATGCATGTGCACGGATGGTGTGTGTTTCAGAAAGGTGGGCTGGGTGGGTGGGATCTGTTCATACAAATAACCGTATAACCTTAGGGAATGATAGGAAACAATAACAGAATTTGAAAAGAAAAAAACAAACCACTGGCCGGATTTTCTTGTAGAGGCTGTATGTTAGCAATGGAGGAAACTTTACAAGCATTTTGCCTATCGCATCATCGTGAATGCCTATGTCCTGAAAAAACTTTACCTGCATGATGGAAAATAAGTGCCGAAATCATCAAACATGTAGTTTGTCTATTTAGCATAAACCTATTATGCACATAATACATGAATAATTATGAGAACTAAACAGTAGTTGAGAGAACAAGGATACCTAAAACAGGATGAGATGGAAGGTAACCAAATGGAAAGAAGAATTCAGATAGATTAGATTGTTCAGGTTGGTATCATGATATGTAGGCATCTGAGCCAAAGTTTAAGGCATGAAGTATGGCATACCTTTGGCACAATGGTTTTGTCCAAATCAACACAGAAAACCATCGGTTTTATGACAAGCATTCTCCTCATACCATCCCGAGTTATGCCATGGTAATACAAATACTTAACTAGAGGCTTCCATCTTTCCTCAATGCTACAACCCATCAGCTGTGGCCTAAATGCTAGCAATTTTCCAACATCCTCGGCACTAAGACCAAATTCCTTCAAATAGTCAACCTGGATAAACAAGAGCAGCATCTCACTACATGTATACGCAAATCAGTAAGTTTCTTTAAAAAAAAATTTATGAAAATCAATAAATTCTATATATATGTTAATACACCCAAATCAGTAAGTATTAAACTCCACATTCTCCTGAATTAAACCCTAATATATATGATTTCAATCAATCAATAATCTGCAGAACGACTCAGCTACCTTTTGGTTCATCTCATCCAGAGTATAGTAGCCAAGTACCCGGGGATAATCAAAGACCATGGTGCCAAAATCCTTGTCATTGATACCCATATCCAAGTAAAACCCGGCACGAGTTTTCACTTCGTCTAAACTGTAGGACAAGAGCTGCGGACATCGGCTCATGACACAGCCCATCCAATCCCTCCTAACTCCATTACTCTCTAATACTCAACAATCTCATCCAATTCTTCATTGCTGCGCTCCAAAAAATGATCTCCCGCCTTCACAAGTGCCACCCCAATAAATCTCCCCTTAACATGAATTGACTTCAACCACAGAGCAAGCCGTCTAATTGAGCCGATATTTCCCTTTGACAAGCAAATGAGCTTCCCAATTTGGGGATATGAGAGTGAATTGTGCTTCAACCACCTATACAATGACACTCAATTAAACCCAGTTGTGGACAAACAAATCCCTTTAATTCCCTACTTTTCATTTTAAGCACACTACTAACTAATAGCTCATGTAATTGCTACAAAAAAAACACATAAATTGGAAATTAAAACCCCCAAAGAAAAATACCAGAGAGAGAGAGAAGTGTTTGATTACCTGATACAGGGCACAACTTCAGATTCTTCAATGACAGTCTTGGCGCGAAAATTATAGGTGGAGCTGGAGAACTCCGGCGAGAGTTTCATGGCGGCGGCTTGGACCATGACGTAGTCAAGGAATTCGGTCAAGGTCTCGACCAAATTGGTGGCATAGGTGATGCCAAACTTGCCCTTGGTCCTCATAAACTCCTTGAAAATCTCTGCGGTGACCTTCCTGCGAATATCCAGGGCCCGCATTATCATCCGATGCTCATCGTCTTCATCATCAAGAGAAGTGAGAGAGGAAGAGTCGAGGGAGATGGAGCCAGGGAACTGAGGAGTGCGCTTGCGGAGGAGAGTGCGTTCCAAGAGCTTGGCTTTGTGGCCGGAAGGGTGAGGGTCTGGGTGTTGCTGGAGGTGGCTAGGGTTAGGGTTGGGGAGGTGGGAGAGGCGCTGGAGGAGGAGGGCGGTGGACTTGGAGTTGTGGTTCCGAAGAGAGAGGTCTTGGGGGTCATGGTGATGGGTTTGTGGGGTTCCGTGGAGACAAGAGAAGGTGTTGAATTTGGTGATGGAGTGTGCGTTTTGATGGAGGTGAATGTGAGGGTGGTACTGGTGATGGTGGAAAGGGAGTGGAGTGAGGGGAGAAGACAGCACCATTGTTGCTCTTTTGGGTTTGCTGTGGTTTTGCTGCTCCACAGCATTTCACAATGTTTGGAATTGGATTATGGGATATTATCCACCTCAACTCTCACTACAAGTGAATCCCAACCCAATCCAGAGTCATTCAAATTATCTATCTTTGACTGACTGAAGTGACTTGCATTTCAAGTAATTAACAGTGTGTTTGGATTGGATGAGAAAATTTAAAAGTATAAATAATTTCATAAATGACGGAAATTAATGTTCTAGAATTTGTAAAGTTTCTTGTTTGGATGACATATTTAAAACACAAAATTTAACATTTATTTGTAAAGTTGTCTTTTTTTAAAACTCAATATCTCTTGGGATTTTAGAAATGACGACTTTTAGATTGAATTTAAAGTTGGGATTTATAATTTCCAAATTCCATGTTTTTCCCACGTGAAATTTCTAAATTTTTATGTTTTTTATCCAAACACGGGAATTGATTCATGTCAATTTAGAAATTCTGATTTTTGTCAAAATCCGAAATTTATTTCCCTTATCCAAACGCACTGTAAGAGAATTTATCATGTCCATTTCATTCTTTTCTTATTTCTCGGTATCACTTGTATCAATAATTTAAAATAAATTGTAAATAAATTAGTTAATAAGTTGCGCGAACATATTAATTATGATGTGATACTAAAGTATGATCGTAAGGTATAACTTGTGTATGCGTCACGATATAAAATAGATATTTATTAGCATTGCTTGGTAGTTAGAAATTTTAACACTGTCATCCCATGTATGACTATCCTTAGCATTGCTTGTTAGTTATTGCGCATCGTGTATTTATCCATGAGCTTCCAACTCAAGTGATGTTTTTTTCTTTTATGCGATCTCAAGTGATGTTATGATAATGTAAAAAATGATAGATTTTAAGTTCAAATCACATCATATGAAATTACTGTGTTTTTTTTGGTCAATAGTATGAAATTACTGCTTTTAACAGACAACTTTGGGCCAAGGTCTAGCCCTTGGAAAATGGTCTTACTTATAGACTAGTGGTCTCATATTCAAACCCCCATGACATTATGGTAATGTGCAAAAATCCCCCCTCCCCTGTAATTTAGATCATCGCTTGTGCCAAAAATACAGGTAGCTTTGGACCAAAAATGCAACTGTGCTATGGTGTTACCATGGCTTGTCCATGACAACACCAAGTCCAATATTTTAGAAATATTGACAGCTGAACCAAGTAATATGTTTTCTTCTCTTCTTTTTTTTTATCCTGAAATTTAAAGTCAAAAGGCAGACAGGTGAGAGCTGAACGTTTCAGGGATCAGCGTCAGTCTATGTAGACTCTGGAGATAACAATCAAGAACCGGAAAGTCTCTGTATATAAAGAAGCTCTCTTCTGTTCCAATTCCCTTTTTGGTGTTGTGTTTTCCTTCTGAACCAAAATGTGAAATCTGCTTTGAATGAAGTAATCTTTGACAATTACAATTTACATTGACCAGAAACTGAACAGGAACAGAACAAATCAATTACACATAAAATTTGTAGCTTGTTTTCGCCATAAACAAGCGCTTCCGACAAATACGAACCATATCCGCTGATGGCACCCCTGATCCTTCTCTCTCACCAAATTTTTTGTGAGTCCAGGTTCATCCTCAAACTACATTCAACATCCCAAAGATATAGCATTTTATGCAACTTCAACTTCAGCATCCCTTAAGAGAAGCTGTGGACCATGGAACCATCCCCATGTACAAAAATTGGCTTGGAACACCACCTAACTCCAAAAACCAAAGAAGAGCTTGCTGGAGCACCAACAAACAGGCACTCAAATTAGCCTGCTGTATTATTAACAAAGAATCAAGAACAATCAACATGAATCGGCTAGTCCTGGTCAGGTCTCTCTACATCTTGTACACCAGATGGTTCGGGGAATATATCCCTAGAATGCCGTCTGCGTGAGGATGAAAGTTCACCACCACCATTTGGGCCACTTCCCTGCGAACCGGTGGTTCCTGAACGTTTTAAGCCACTCCCTCCTTCCCCTTTGGTAGTGGAGGCTCCTGGTATGACCACTACCTCAGACGAGCTGCGCCAACTACCAAACACAGCAGCATTCCAAGACCCTCTGGAAGACGTTGTTCTGAGCCTTGCAGAGCCAGAACTATCTTCCCTCACCACCTTCAAAGGGTTTTCCAAAGCCTTGAGAATATATCTCATTAGGGGGCGCCTTGAGGGCTTGGGATTTAGGCAGGACCTGGCCACAACAGCCATGGCCCACACTTCCTCTAATAGGTCCTCATCCACAATCAGAGATGGATCCACAATTTTTGTCACAAGTTCCTTGTCATATATACTGATGTATGGTAACGTCTGATCTAATAATTCCTTCATTTCAGCATCACTGGAAGCACTGATGCCCAACTTACCTGTTACCAGTTCAAGTAATACCTTCCCAAAACAGTAAACATCATAGGCACATAATGCTGTCGATGAACCTGGTAATTTGAGAGAGATAAAGAATTGGGTTATTCGAGTGCAAGAAAATAACAAAAAATAGCTAAGGATCATAATTCACTATGGACTAAGACGAGCTTGAAGCCTTAGTGATAGAAACAAAAGCATAAACTACACCAGATTTAAAAATATAAGCTACACCACTTAAAGCTTTACCAAATAATAAGTTAGTCGTTTGGAAATTAAATAGGCAAGAAGAAGATGCTTGCTTGTATTTTGGTTATGGCATTCAACTCATATAAGGATAGGAAAAGGCATCCAAAAGCCTAAAGGACATGTCTAATAAAACTTTTATGAAAAAAAGAAAAAGAAATTAACATGTATAGTTGGCCCAAAGAGCCCAAGTCTGTTTCAGTGCTAGGAAATCAATAAAAGGACAGCAAGACATAAAAGTAAAAGGAGGTTAAAATGATGTGAAGTTTTATAACCAGATAAGTACATACCAGAAGCACCTTGCTCAGATGACCTGCATTGTAAAAGGAAAACTAATAAGAACTGTATACACGCAGATCTATTAAATCTTTACAAATGATAATAAACCTAATGCAAAGGCTACACGTAATTCAGCAACGATGAAGAAAGTAAACAAATACAATTAGGTGTATGATACTATTTCTTAGTTTGACAGGATCCACATCACATAACCTTGTTTCAGGCTTTAGCTTCGTTTAGGCGGCAAAGATAGCTAATACCAATTAACACAAATGTCTTATAAAAGATATGGCAGACAAAAAACATATGTGTCGTGTTAACAAGCAAATAGCAGAAGGAATACCACTGAGTCAGTTAAAAATTTGTAGGGGGTGGGGTGGGGGAAGATAGAACTCATCATGTGGTCACACCTAAGGGTTTTTCATTGGACATACAGATATCATGAGATTTTTTTTTGTTTTTGGGACGGCAGATATTATGAGAATTAAAGAAACTTGTTTAATGTAGAAGATATATTGCAAGAAACAATTACTAAAGCAGTACTGGATTTAAAATAAAAATAAAAGGCAAGGAAAACGTATGGAAGTAAGCAATTAGGACAGCAGCAAGAAATGGATATAAAAGAAAAATTACATGCTGTCTTTGCGAAAAAGACTAAACATGTCAGGAGTTACCATAGTAACTCAACAATTGACCGAATAGCAAGACATATCAAAAATAAATAGACAATAAAATATAAAACAAATAGAAATTGTTCCTCCAGGAATAGTCACAGTTTGGAAAGAGGAGACAGACAGGTGAATAGATACAATTATGAACAGGACACTTACTGTGGCAACCGCAGCAACCTGGTAATTCTGCTTTGATGAGTATCTCCTTCTTGAGAACAGACATCAGTCAGGCTCCCTAGTCGCACTTCAAATTTATCATCCAGAAGTATACTGCTTGCTTGAACATCCCTTCATTGACCAAAAGAAAGCTATGTCACTACATGCACCACTAGGCATAAGTTCTATAATCTGGCTTGTGGGATCATCAATTGCACTAACAAGAATGCTAAACTAACAAAACTGGGTTGCTCGCTCTCACCTAAACCAATTGACTGTTGACAAAGTGCAAAGAGCACATAAAAAATTTCACTCATTGAAGAATTTACATATATAATTAACATATGAAAATAGAAACAGTTCCAATATTTTGCTACATATTTGTTTCTACCTAAACAGTAATCATCCAAATTTATATTTTATTTTATTCTTTTGAGAACAACCATGCTTTCAAGTTGGTCAAGTTGAATTTCAAGAGAGTGCCAGGCCTCAGTTCAAAACCTCAAACAGATAAATCATTACCAGGAAGCTTATTGAACAAATTTATAGATTCCCTATCTTGTGCTTGTGACATTCATTTGAGATGCAAATCTATAGCTTTCCCATCACTTCTGTACTTTAAATATGCAAACTCCATTAACTATCCACTGCAACAGCCATCTGATGCTGAATTATGTTGAAGATTTAGTCTAAAGTCAAAATGGCTTTTGACACATTCAAGCATATGACTTCATGCCTCAGGGATATTATAATCACCTCTTACAAGCTCCAACCATAATTGATGCTTGGCTATTTTTATAATGAAATAAAACAAGATAAAAACATATCTTCCCTTTAAATTTGTCAAACACATTATATAGTTTCTTGTAACTGATAAACACAGGAGTATCTTGACCAATAATTTGACCATCTCTGATTTTTTTATTCCTGAGACTAGGAACAATGAAATTTTGTCGATAGAATAATATATGCTATGGTTCGTCTCAGTTCAATGTACTGAGAGTGCAAAATTTGAATGAGAGAACCTCTTACAAAGCCATAATTAGTCCATTGTATCTTTAGCTTTGGTGTCATAGAGCCTCTGAAATGAACAAGTAGTTTATGCGAGTTCCTAAATGGTTTTAACTTCTAATGTTGAACAAGTAGTTGATGCGAGTTCCTAAGTGGTTTTAACTTCTAATGTTGCACAGAAAGCCCTTAGAAATCCTAAAGACGCCATTAAATTAGTGCCCTTCTTGAGGAAATGTTACAGAAAATAAACTCCATCTAAAAATCAATGTTACATATCCATCTAAAACAAAGAACTAAAGAGATACTATAAGTCAGAAATAAAGGAAATTATGAGAACCTAATTGCATGGAGAATAAATAAAATATCAGAAGGGGAAGAATTGAAACTTAACAAGAAGTAACTTTTAACGTACCTGTGAACGAGAGGGGGATTGCATTCATGATGCAGATAGGAGAGACCCTCTGCTGCACCTAACGCAATCTTTAATCTTGTTATCCAATCCAATGACTGTAAACTATCATCCACTGTGTTGGTTTTCTTGTACAAGGAACTTGATAAGTCCCCATTTGGCATATATTTGTAGACAAGGAACTTCTCATTTTCATTCTCTAAACAGTGTCCCAAAAGGGGAACAAATCTTGTATGTGACACCTTATTAAAGAACTCCAATTCCTGTATGTATGCTTCCTTTTTCATTGAGCGTAAATCAATCCTTTTGATGACCACAGGGATCCCATTTTCCAAGACGCCTCTGAAGAGATCCCCTGAGTGACCATTTTTAATCAAGTTTGTATTGCTGAAGTCACCTGCGGCTTGGAGCAGCTGCTGATATGTGAATGCATCTCCTACACTAGAAAAGTTAATTGATCCTCCAGGCGGTGGTGGACCGCTGCCTGTAGTAATTGGCCCTACACCAATCCCTCTTTCAGTTGTAGCGCCCCTCTTGCGTAAACATAGGAGTAGTACCACCAAAAACAACACTAAGAGCACAATCAAACCAACTCCCCCCAAAACTGCTGCTAATATGATCACCTTTTTATTGCTCTTCCCAGGAGGTTTTGCTGGAGGAGGAGGTTGTGTAGAATTTGGCTGTCCGAAATTATCAAAAGTCAAACCCCTACCATTATAGAATGATGAACATTCTGCCAAAGTCTTTTGATTCTTCACATTTCGAAGGCAGTTGCGATCAAGAGATGCACTAGTGCCCACATAGCCTGGTACACCACCTTGAAAATAGTTTCCCGAAATATCAATAACACTGAAACGTCCAAGTAAAGGCGTAAGACTTCCATAGAACAAATTCTGAGAAATATTGAATACTGCAGCAGTGGCATTAGCATTCAAGCTAGAATTGGGAAGCAGACCAGTGAAATTATTGCCAGACACATCAAGAAGACTCAATCCGGCCATTGACCATAGCACTTTAGGAAGACCCCCCGTGAAACCGTTGTTTCTCAGAACTATGACCTGCAACTGTGTTGAAGTCGGAAACAGATTGTCTGGCAAAGTCCCACTAAGCAAATTGTCTGCAACTATCATTCTCTGCAAGTTCCTTAACCCCCTCAAATCCGAAGGTACCGACCCGACCAATATATTGGCACTGAGATCAAGGTCAACCAGGCTATCAAGGTCCCCAAGTTGAGCAGGTATTGAAGCAGTTAACATGTTACTTGAAAGGTTCAAATACTGAAGCTTCATGAGGGTCCCAATGCCCAGAGGAATGGAGCCGGATAAGTAATTGCCAGAAATGTCAAGCACAGAAAGATTCCGAAGATTGCTAAATGAAGTAGGAATGGATCCAGTGAGCCGATTTCGCGAAAGATTAAAAACGGAAAGGCGAGACAACTGGCTCAAACTAGCAGGAATTGTCCCAGTAAGGTTATTATGAGACAAATACAGACCAGTTAGATTTGATGAATTTCCGAGACTCAATGGAATAGGACCAAGTACAGAACAAGAAGTGAGATCAAGCACTTGCAGGGACCTAACTTGTTGGCCAAACCAGTCAGGAATGGAACCCGGAAGCAAGAAATTGGAGGCATTAAACGACTGCAAAAGGGTGAAATTGGCTAAAGCATCGACTGAAAATTGTGGGTTTTGACTGCCAAGTCGAGTCCTTCTAAACCCAGAAATGTTAATCCCAACAACTCTTCCATTCTGGCAATGAATCCCTCTCCAGATTATGCAAGGGTCTGCTTTTATGGGCCAATCCCTGCTTCTCAACCCTAAGGACGATCTGAGCTCAAGCAGAGCCACTCGCTCAGTGGTTGAACCCAATGGCAATGGCTGGCTCTGTTGCTCAAATGTGGGCTCAAACAGCAACACCACCACCAAAAACAAGGCACAAGAGACTATGCTTCGCTGATCCACCATGGCTCATAAAGATCCAACCATGCCCATCTTACCTCTCTCTCACACACACAATCTCAAACATGTACATGTGTTTGACTGCTATAGAACTTCCCAGAATTACACATGCCCTGTACACAATAACAATGCATTTCTCTTTCTAAAAGCCCCCAACTCTCTCTCTCTCTCTCTCTCTCTCTTCTAAAAGAAAAGCCAAAATGGAAGACACTTACCTCAAATTCACACGCTTTGAGTCTCCACTAGAAACTGTTGAGAGATGGAGAGAGAGGCAGACAAATCTGTCTCCACTTTCTTTGCTTTTCTTTCTTTACTCCCAAAATCTTCAGCTTCTTCAGTTGACAAATCAGGGTGAAAAAAAGAGAGAAAAGACGTAAAATTTAGAAAATGAAAAACCCATTAATTAATTATTAATAAATTTTGAGAGAGAGAGAGAGAGAGAGAGAGAGGGACAGAAAGTGGCTGGTCAAAGCTCAAGGAGCAACTGTGGACTATCAACAGCTGCATACAAGAAACCAAAAAAAAACACAGAGAGAGAAAACCAAGCCTTGATTTTCTCTCTTACCTTCTCTATTTTATTTGGTTTCTGTGTTGAAGGGGCTGCTGTCACTGAAAGAGATGAAAAGTTGAAGTCTTTAGAATGTGGGCTGGTCAATGTGGTTGTGGCTTAATCAGCTGAGTCATTGACTCGGGGTTTGGACTCGTGACTCGGTGATGGGTTTGAACCCAGGTCCGACGCCGGTTCTGTCTGTGAGTCTCAGTGGGTTGGGTTGAATTTGACCTCCGGTAATCCCGCCCATACCAGCTCACACACATCCACTGTTTTTTTTCCTTTCCTATTTTTCTCCTCTTCTATGGAAATCTTGTAAACAGCAAAATTTTAAAATTTTAAATTTAAAAGAAAAAAAAAGTGAACAATGGAAATGTTCTATACAATTATTGCTGTGACCTAATTGTTTAGGGAATTTACTAAAGGGACCATTGTGTGATTTCTTTTGTGATTTCTAGGCTGTCAAGCATAGGGAATATGTGTCCATGAACAAAAATGGATGCTCTGTTTTTATTTTTTCTCTGAGAACAAATGGATGCTCTGTTTTTAAAACACTATCTCTGACTCTGGGAAACAAAGGAATGAAATTTGGGAAAAATGGTAGGTTATTTTTTTAAATCCAAAATGGTAGGTTTTGGTTGTGTAAAATTGGTGTGTACTTGATGGCCTTTAATGATACTTTGTAGTACATGATCATTTTTTCTTTGGAATTAAAGTTTGTCTTTTTAGTGAAATGATCATTTGCACCTAAATGGAAATAAAGGGTTGTTCTCTCTCTCCCCTTCTCTCTCACTAACCCAACTTACCCACTTTTTTAATTAGGAAATATCTTTTCAAGGAAAATACTAGTGGGGAAGAAGTGAGGTGTAAATCAATAGAGTAAAATTGAATCTGAATGATTAAGAAGCACTTAAGAATACAATGAATTTGTAAATGACCCACTAGTGTAGTGATTTTGAGTAATTGTTCTTTCAAGAAAGGTCCTGAGTTCGAGTCCTGACATTCGTGTAATGTGTGTAAGTTTAATTTGCTATCGTCCCTCTTAATAAAAAAAGTCTTAAAAAATAATAATAATAATACAATGAATTTTGCTTTGGATTTCATAGATATCATGTATATGATGATTATGGTAACCAGAGAACAATTTCATCATTGTCTGAGGTTTCTTTGCTTCACATAGAAAGCACTGGAGACAAATTAATAGGGGACATGATGAAGTGGCAATTCAAATTTTTTTGTGTTACATTAGGTAAGTGAGTTGGATTAGGTATGAATTATTATTTTTTGTGATTCTAGCCACACATGAAGAAAAATATATTTTAATTGAAAAACAATTACAGCTCAACAACAATACTTGTTATCTCAAAACTATTCAGCGGACCATTTCATAGAAAAGAAAAGGTTCTTTATATACCAGCCTTGGACCACATAGAGATTGTGGTCACCAACCGTTGGATGTTAATCTAACAGTTAAAAAAAGTTTCTTAAAATGAGTGCAAAAATGAGTGAACCGTTGAATTTACATCCAACGGTGAGTGATCACAAATCTCATGTCATGTATTGATTTGAGAATAAGTTTTCAGAAAACTGCCTTTGTAAGGAAAATTATGTCATGCAAACCGATGAAAGGTTCAATGAAATTCAAATTTTTTTAAATTTTGTTTGTTGGATTGGATTTGATGATAAAGAACTTATTAACTGCATTTCTTTTTCGATTTGGATGAATAAAAAATGGACTAAATCAAATCGTTTCATCATTAGCTTTTAAATTTAAAAATGTTACTTCTATATTATGAGAGACTAAAAGTGTATGTCATTTGTCTTTTTTATTTTTTGCTTGAGTTAATTTTAATATATTTGAATGTCTGAATTTGTAATTGTTTATTATAATTTTTTTCATTATTATTAGGGCTCGTTTAGTTTGCGAAGTGGGGTTTTGGGCATAATTTTGGTTCAATCTGACCAAAACCGTTCAATCCATTATTAGAGGGTTGGGTTGGATTAGTTTACTAATGAACGGGTCTTGGGTTCAAAAAATCATAAACCGCCATCTGAAGGGTTGAGTTACATGTTGGAACTAAAACGTAAAGTGAGGTTAATTTTGAGTTAACCCAACCGAACCACCCAACTCAATCACAAAGGGTTGGGTGGATTGGATTGAGTTGGCCTAATAATAAGTGAATCTTCAGTCCAAGAAATCATAAAACCGCTCTATATCGGTTTAGGTTACAAATTGGGACAAAAAACAACCAACCCATTACCACCGTAGAAAAATAGAACTAAAATAATGGCCTAGTTCATAAAATAAAAAATAAAAACCTAAGTCAAGAGAGTATGTTGCATATGTGAGTTAGGCCAGTTGACTTGTGTTTGCCTCTTTGCATATGAATTCGATCTCATTTTCCGTGAATTAGAGTAGTTGAAAACTATCCACTTTTTTTTTTTTTTTTTTTTTTTTTTTTTTTTTAAATGTAAAGAAATTAAGAGAGGAATTGTCAGATATATATATATATATATATATATGGTTCGGGCTAACGTATTTATTGGTTTTTTAAAGTATTTTTCTCACATTTATTTCTCTACCCTACCTTTGGGTCGAACTATTCTTCAGTGGGAGGTTGAATGACTAATTTTTACCAGTTCGCAAATGTATTATATTCTTATATCTCGATTTACTCACTTCGGATTGAAAAGCATAAGATAATGGATGGTATCTTTCTGATTTACATAAACAAATGACAATTTTCCCTTTGTTCATGAAGAAATCCATTTAATAGATATCGAAAACTAGTTTATGGAATACAAGATCATGAATGATATCCTCACAAATAAACCCAACAAATAGGAATGAAAAACGCTTCTTTTTCAAAACAAAAAACCTAGAACCTAGAACCTGTTGAAGTGAAACAAAAATGGATCTATGTCATTGAAATGCTAGAGACAATTGTTTATGCGCGATTGAACGACTCAATGGTTGGAAAGTTCCCTATTCGTAATGGTATTGTCAAGTATGTTGAAAATGAAATTCTCATTTTTATCAAGCAGTGAGAGCATGTTAAACCTAAAGAAACCAAAATTTTGGATGGAATTCTATATGTTTTCATGAGCACTCACCAATTTTATAAATAAAAAAAATTTATTACCGTTGACAATGTAACATGGTTATATTTTGTTTGTCTTTGATACAAGCGTGCGACATTAGAGATGGGGGAATCGAACTCATGACATCAAGTGCATAGATAAATACTTTTAATTACTTGAGCTACAAGTCTTTTAGTTGTTATATAAACACGTAAATTCATGGCGGGGTCAATAAATATATTGTTACAACAGTAGTTTGAGATCAAAATTTCAAGATTTGGTTTGGCAACCATCCCTATCAAGTCTCAACTAAATTTTTTCTGACAGAAAAAGCAAGTGAATGAATTTTCTCTTGAATTGCATTAAATGCAATTTCCATCGTCGTTAAGAACAAAGAAAATAACACAAGTGCAAGTTGAACTATCAGTTATTATAAAGAAGGACCATGCAGCAGTCCTAGTCCTATACGCATGCTGCTGTTGGCTCCATGCTTCCACGTTGAAAGACATGAACGGCAAATAATGCTCAACTGCTCACCTTGTTTTTGGCCTCACACACCACAAAATTACAGCAGCATGAGGAAAGTCTTCATTTTCCTCAGAGTCCTTCTTTCTTGGTCAAATAAACAACTTTCTGCTAGCCAACTTATGAACAGTGGTCCTGCCTGTGTCTGCTAGTTTTTGGGTCGGGATCAAATTAATCTATGAAATAAAATTGCACATTGACTTTCAAAACTAGGGCTCAATCTTGAGCACTCAACATGCATGAATTTAGGGATTCGTTTTTGTTTTCTGGTATGAAACATTTTGTTTTAGATTAAAGTAGCGTGCATAAATGATAAATTTGTATATAAATTTATAAATAAACCTAATCCTAAACATGTGTTTATGAAAAAAACCATGCACTATTTAAACATAGAAACACACCCAAAATCAACAATTGTATATTTTTTGGGTGTGTTTATAAATAGGTTTTGAGTGTGTGTAATGATGGGATTTGGGTGTTGGGTTTTTTTATAATTTCAGTCCCCATTTTGAGTGTTTTAGTGAAACTCTCAAATTTGTATAACCGTGTCCGATAAAATCTCGTTTTAAAACAACACTATTATATTAAAAGATCACTTGATACAGTATGCCGTATACATATTTGTGATTCGTAATATATATATATATATATATAAAGCAAAATGTAGAGAATGGTGAAACATTCAAAATACTAGAAAATGCCCTTGGTTAATTCAAACATTAAGAATTGAAATTATAATTAAATGAGGATAATATTGTAAATTTATATATTTTTTTTATATTTAAAAAAATTAAAATAAAAACAAAATCAAATAATAAGTCATACTTTTATGGAACATAACTACCCATGT